ACTGTTCAGATTTATGTAATTCCGATACTCAGAATCAAATGGATTCTCTTCATTCTACTTTCCTGCATTTTCCTTCTCTCAAAACTCAAATATGAATCAATTATGATACCAATATAAGAGAATCCAATTCATCAAAGGCTCAATCTAAATTATTTAGGATTGGTGATTTTAAAGTGATTTGTTAACTTCATAAAAATTGTTAAGAAATATATTATAGTATCAGCTGATTTCCTACTAAAAGCATATGGTTGTCAACATAATGAATAACAAATATATTATAATATCATATGCGCAGCACAAAATGTTAGTTAAATCCTCTTAATTCTTATATCTGCAAACAGAAATTCATGATCATATTTGTGCCAGACCATTTTTTGTTATATCCAAGAAGTTTGTAATTAAACCATTTGTTTTATCAGCAAATTTCCAACTAAATGCAGAGGGTAATAACCAGAATGAGTGACAAATACATTATAAATTTCAGATAAAATGTTATTTAAATATTCACATACCAGCAAATAAAAATTCATAATCACCACCGGAGACGCAGAGAGGGATAAACGGTGGTAGAGAGAGGGGAGCACAACTCAGAGAAGGATAAACGACAGCAGTAGAGTGCAGCAGCAGCGATGCGACGGAGGCTATGGACAGCGACGCCATCACGACGGAGGCTATGGGAAGCGGCGGCAGAGTGTATAGTGAGAGAGAGAGAAAAGGGAAGAGAGAGAAGGGAGAGAGAGAAACAAAGACAGAGGGGTTATTTAAGACTCCAATGAGGACCGTCGGATCGCTGCTACCAATTTATCGGTGAAATTGATTGGTAGTAACATTGGCTGTAACTTTACTTGGTTGTTATAATATCCCATCCCTATAAGTTATTAGCAAAAAAATAGACATGTTGTTGAACTCAGAAAATCAAACTAGGTAAATAAAATATAACTAAACAGACAAAAACTTCTCTCTCTCTCTCTAACTCATATTCTTTTTTTACTCGTTCAACCATCAGAGTACCCATTGTTTCTTCTCCAATTTCATTGGCCAAGTGCTAAGCAAAGCACCACAAGGAACAGAAGTTCACATGGGTCTCTGATTTTCTTCTCCATCTCCCTCTGAACTAAACATTTCTTCCCTCAGCCGCACTTAGTGTTCAGGAAAGTCTTCAACTTTTCTATAATCTCGTACCTCCCCTTCAAAATTCACTTCAAAATTCAACCTGGGTCGTTCGCGTTTTGCTCTAATTCTACTAGGTCAAAGTTTTTTTTATTCAGTAGGGATGAGAGAGATCATACCATAGAGAGATCAGAGAGAGAGAGAGAGAGAGAAAGAGAGGTTAAAGCACTTACCAGTAGTTGTGGAGAAGAGAGAGCAGAAGGAAGATGAGGAAGAAGAAACGAGCAAGAAGAACCATGGCAGCGAGGTCAGGGAGAATGCCGCAGAATGGAAATGATTTGAACTAAAGCAGAACATAATCCAGAGCGTGGGCAAAGTGGGGACTTTGCGTGCCCTGATTGACGAGGTCTAAATAGATCTGGTTTAGCCATTGAAGACCACGAAGGCAACGAGAAGCGAACGATGGCAGAGTTAAGCCTAAGCGAAGGTCGCGTGAAGAAGCGAAGAAGAAAGAGATAAAGGTCGAAATATTTTTAGGGTTTAGTTTTAAGTATTTATTAATTTTTTTAAATTATAATTTTATTAAAAATAATTCAATTTTTTAGAAAATATAATGTTTTTACGAAAATGTCATTTGACTGTGTCGGATACAATCAAATTCGCGTGTCAAAATGGTCAACGTGTAGAGAGTGTTGACCGCGTGTCGGATACCGTGTCGACATATCGGAACATGTCGAACACGACACTCCATGTTTTTAGAGTGTTCATGCTTCCTTGGCTAACAAACATAACACTTCTCTCTACCTCAAACGAAAGCACTCCTTACTACTATAACATAAAAAATAAATAAAAATCCTCACTTAAAAATACCTTGAACTAACAAACATAAGAAACTCACCTAATACATTGGGCAACAATTAAATGAGTTCACCACAAAATCATGTCTTCCTCATGTCTCATTTATATATTTCAACATGTTATATGCTCAAAAAGTCTACTTAGAACATAGGGGTGGCTAAACGGGTCCTACCCGTCGGGTTGGCCCATTTAACCAGCCACAAATGGCAAGTTGGGTTCATATTCCCAACTCATTCCAACCCGCCCTACTCAAGGGTGGTCAAAACGGGTTCAACCCGTCCGAGGGCGAATTGACCTGTCGGACTAATTTTTTTAACTTTCAAGTAGTATTTTATTTATTATTTTAACCTTCTGTGATATCCAAAACTTATGATTTAATATTTTCTTATAAAAAATTAAAAAGAAAACACTTTATTTATGATAAAAGGTTATCTATATATGGTGGCAAAAATGAATTACTAAAGACTATCCGACCCGATATTAACATGCATTTAGGTTTAAGATTGAAAAAGATTAAAAGAAGTGTGAAATAAATTTAAATAATATTATAAAATTTATAAAATATTTTTAAAAAAAATTAATTTTTAAAATGGGTCAACCTGCCAACCGACCATAAAACAGGGTGGGTGGGTATTTCCAGCCCATTTTTAAGAGGGGGGCCAACTCAACCCGCCCCGCTTTTAGCAGGTTGGTGGCGGGCCGACCCACTTTTCCAGTTCTATTAGAACATATTGGTTTCCCATTGAAACTAGTATATATTGTCCTATCAACCTCATCTGCTGACAATCAACGGGTAAACACTCAAAGTACCAGGAAAGTGATACCAAGTACTACACAACCACTATGATACGCCCAAACTTATGAGGTTTGCCTACTCTCCTAATGCTCAATCAACACTTCTCAGTCAACATCTCTTTATCAAAGCTCCTTTGTTTTTTAGTGTGGAACATATTAGGAAAGCAAAACACTTGGTCTAAAACAAAAGTATCCCTATGTAATATCTAGAAAATCAAAACTTACTAGCAACAAATTGGAAACTACTCAGAAAATTAAATCTAAACATGTTAGCAGTTGCACATACTAAACCAACCTAACCTTTCTATACACTAAACACTTAATCACTACTAACTAATCAACTAAACCCCTTTTAGTATTTCACCCAGCATCCAATAAGGAGATGAAAGTCTTCTCTTTATCCACATGTCTGCTCCAGTAATGTTTTAACCATCGAATCTAGCTCGGAAATAATTTGATTCTTGTCTTGAAATTTAGAACAAGCTACCCTGTATCCAACCATTTGATTATTTTCTTTTGAACCATTTCTTTCATGAGTGCACTAAGTCTTCTTTGTTGAATTTAAGAGCTAGTGTTCAATGGTTTAGATATCTAATATACCTAACTCCTATTCCACATGGAATTGTACAAGAACTGGATCTTGTAGCTTGGGTGTCGATTTGTTGGAAATATAGCTGCTGCACTCTTGAGTTAATGCAACAATTTCTTAGTCTTCAAGTCTCCTCTTCCTTGTAAGGATATCCTTCATGAATTTCATGTAGATAGGCATGTGTTGTAGTGCTTCCACTAAGGAGATGTTTATTTGCAATTGTTTCAAGATGTCTAAAAATCTCTTGAAGTGCTGCTCCTCTTGTTACTTTTGGAGTCTTTGAGGGAAATGGAGTTGTCTTCCCTTGACATTGGTTGATGAGCTTCACTATTCTGCACGTGCTTCATCTAGTGCCCTTGATTTTGGCACTTGCTTTTCTGGTACAACAAATATCTCCTCTTTCTTGTCTTTCTCTTGAGGTATAGTGTGGTTGGTCAATGGTTCAGCTGAAGGTGTATCTTCCATTTGTTTCCCTTCCTTTTCCATTAATTTCCTCAAGGTAGATGATCTTATAACAGGCTCAGGCTAATCTACCTTTATGTCATTCCTCAATTGGGGGGGTCTTACAAGCTTCTTTTCCATTCTTTTTCGGTATTTCGGTGTCACTTGGGAGTGCTCCAAAGGGTATATTGCTAAGGGCGGAAGCAAGCTGCCCTATTTAAGTCTCTATGCTTCTCAATATGGCTCCATGACTATGGAGGAGGGCTGCCTAGCTTTGAAGCATTTGACCATGGCTTTGTATCACTTGGTCATTCTTTACCATGTGTTCTTTCATCCACTTCTCAATAGGAAGTTGAGCTTCAACAATGCCTTGCTTTTGCTGGTCAGTAGGAGGTCGTTGTATGTAAACATGGTTTTACCCAAAGTTAGGGTTTCTATATATTTTTAAGGAAATTTTCAGAGGAAACTCATAACACTTGATAGCTAAGGAAAAGCTTTAATCATAGAAAGAGTATTCTTCATGCTTTGGAGTATCGGAGACAGGTTGGATTACATAACGGGGTCAACGGTAAAAACTTTTTTTGATTATGTAATCAATTACGTACGTGTTGTAATCGATTACATTTTCAGTCAATGGTCAAATATGGTCAGATTGATGGAATGCTTTGGGTGAGGGGCAAATGGATTGTTTTTTAATTAATGAGGGGCACAATGATAAAAAAAAGTCCTCATATCATATTACTAGATTTATGAAAAATAATAACGCATAAAAATGACTATGATATGAATATAATTAGTTTTCCTTAAAGATAAAAGCAAAAATAGGAAGAAAAAAAAACTCAATCAATACATAGTAGGTTGAATTTTATTCGAAATCAAATAGTTTCCTATTTTTTTCCCCAATTTTATCACTCACACTAGGGCACCAAAACGCACAGTTTTATGGCTTCCAATTACAAAGCGTATCAGAGAAGGGTTCCAAAATAAATAAAAAAACGACATTATAATAAGGAGCGTTAGAGAAAGATTTTGAATTCTAACGGCTACTTCTACTTCTGCTTCTTCTTCTCTTTCTGTTCTTTCTCTCTCTTCAAATCCCTTTCTCTCTCTTCAAAATCAACACGCACACAGCACACGTTCCTTGGTTTCTCTCTCAGATTTCGCGTTTTCTCGGTGAGTTCCGATCCAAATTGAAGTCTTCGTTTCGATGGCTTCGAACCAATTTGAAAGTGCAGGATCCAGCCCGGGTCGGAAGGTTCGGGTCGTGGGCAAGGTCCGAGGATTTTCGGGTACGGAGGTCAATTCTGAAACTGGGTTTTCGAGGACGGTGGAGTGGGTTTCAGTGAACAGGGAGAATTCCGAGGATGTCACCATCTCGTTCGGAGAACAATCTTCTAGGTATGGAAGGTTTCAGTTTCTGAATTTTAACGTTTGAGCTTTATAGGCTTTGTTGATGAATGAAAATTGAAAAACCTTTTGAGCCTGTTTGGGTAAATAGTAGAATTGGAATTGGAAAGAAGTTGAAATTCTTTGAGTTTTGGGGTTTGTGGTTCTTGAATTGTGCAATGTTAGGAGAATTGGAATTTTCATGAATCATAGCTGAATGGTAACATATCTTAAAATTTCAGCTCTTTCGGGTCTGGAAAGGTTGAATTTTCTTTTTTTCTTTTTGCTTTTCTTTTTTTTAATTTATCATCTATAATTTTCTTATGTGCTACATTTGATGAAAGATGATAATTTGTAGTTATTGCTAAGACATTAATTCATTTCAGTATTTTAATGATTCTGTGTTGTGAATCGCCTTGGACTCTTCTCTTTTATCTGTTGTTTAAATGGGTCATGGCACTTACTGGAGTTAATTTTTGTGTTGCAGTCGTTATTTGATGGACTATTGCTATAAGGAACATGAAGAAAATGAAATGGTGTATTCAAGAGAGGTGAAGCCTCTTGTTTCTGCAGTTTTTGAAGGTCATAACAGCACTGTTATTGCTCATGGAGCTAAAGGAAGTGGAAAGACCCACTTAATTCAGGTTTGACTCACTTGGTCATGCTAGAATTTTTTTTATTATTTTTTTTTTTTGGAGGGGGTATTCATGAACAATCTTCTTGTTAGATTCTATGGAATTCTATATGTGTGCTAACAATTCATTTGCTCTTCAAGGGTTCTGCTGAGAAACCAGGTCTGGCAATGCTTGCTGTGGCCGAGTTTCTTTCAATGGCTGAGAAATATGGGAAATCTATAGCGATTTCTTTCTACGAGGTTGATCATCAGGAGCATGCTGTTGATTTATTAAATCCAGAACAACCTCCAATTTTGGTTTTTGAAGATCGTGGCAGAATTCAGTTTAAAGGACTTACTCAAGTAAAAATTTATTGTATTTCTCATTTTATCAGACTAGAGAAAATGAAGATTTCAAAGATAGACAGTTGATATGCAATTTTTGTGTGCAGACTCCTGTGAAATCCATTTCGGAGTTTCAGAATTTGTACTTCACTGCATGTTCTGCACAAAAGGCAGCTCCCAAAAAAGGCCATGAACGTGCTCGGAGAGGCCACATGGGATTAATTGTGCATGTCATTTCCCAGAATGAAAGCGTAGAAGGTCTTGTGAGCAAAATGAATTTTGTTGATTTGGCAGGTTATAATCTTTACTCAAATGAAAGATGTCCAATAATCTTTTTATTTTATTTTCTGGCTCTTGTTGACATATCTAAAATTTGACTTACAGTTTTATAATTTTATTATCAGGTTATGAAGATGTTAGAAAGAAAAGTAATGATGGCTCTTGCCTTGCTGAGACTACCAAACTTAACAAGTCAATTTATGCCTTACTGAATGTTTGTCATGCTTTGAGCACAAATGAATGTCGTGTTCCCTACAGGGAAAGCAAACTTACACGAATGCTGCAGGATTCCTTGAGGGGGTCTAGCAAAATTTTGTTAATTTCATGCTTGGTAATCATGACTATGCATTTTAGTTCAAATTTTATTTTCTCATTTTGCATCAGTAGGTCTAGCAAAATTTTGTTGATTTCATGCTTGGTAATCATGACTATGCATTTTAGTTCAAATTTTCTTTTCTCATTTTGCATCAGTAAATTAATTTTGATTTTGGTCCTTTTCTTTTCTATATTGTGAATGTAGAACCCAATATTTTGCCAAGACACAATTTACATGGTAAGCTTAGCATCACGGTCATGTCAAAGGATTTATCGGACATCCTTAGATTCTATGAAGAAAAGTGAAAGACAGATGGTGACTTCTCATAAGAAGAACCATATACCCAAAAGTGTTTCAGCCTCTGCAAAGAAATTACATGGTTCCAAATCTCATATATATGAAAAGAAATCTGTTGTTCCTATGAAGTCTGCAATGAAAGGAAGGTTTGTCATGAATGTTTCTGCATATTTTATTAGGTTAACTTCTATTTATGGATATTGATTTTTTTTCTCTTTTGATTGAAGGAAATTGTTTGATGAAGCCAGCCATTCTGTTGCTAAAACTGAGAAGGTACTATTTTTTTTCCTATGTACTTTTGCACTATTTTTTTTCTGTGTGTGTTTTAAAGAGGACATAAAAGGAACAACACTTTTTGTTTGGCTCAACGGACAAAGTTGTATGACTATTCATTAGTAGGGACTATGCCAGGTGTTATTAATGGATGGAATTATTGTTTGTAGGAAATTTCCATTGCTCATGTTACCAAAACATCAGAACCTTTATTGGTATTACACCTTTTATATTGTAGTTTCTTATGCTATTAGTGACAAACAAATTGGAAAGCTCAACACATCAATTGGTATCTAATGCAGGACAATTCATTATCAGAAGCTGAGAGTCATGTTGAGCTCAACTCTAGGGTGGAAAAGGTAATGAATAATTTACTAAAAATCCCAACATACATAAAACCTTTACAAAAAAAAATGTTCTCTTTTTTTCACCTAACATCTTATTTCATTGGAGGTTAACAAATGTTTTATCTAGGATAATTCATTTCCAGATTCTAGCAATAATGTGAAACTCAATTTGATGGTGGACAATGTAATGAGCTGATCTTGTAGATTTTTTGTGTTTGATCAGGACTTCTTTCAACCAAATGTTTTTGCAAAATTGGTACCTTACATCTGTGTTCCGTCAGAAAACTGATAAATTTGCTCCATGCAGGATGGCTCGTCTTTAAATGCTAGCAGTGAAGTGGAATCCAATCACCTAGTTGAAAAGGTAATTTTCTTAATGCTATCAAAATTCCCATCTTCCTTTTTCTTTTTTTCAATTTGGCCTTTATAAAACCTATCAAAAACCTTCTTGCCGCCTCATTGTTAGCATGGTTGATACTGAACTTTGATTCGTTCAATAAGGTCTTTCCTTGCTAATTTATATTAGAATAGAAAATGTCATACAGCTTACATGATGTAACTTAAGTACGAAGACACTGAATATGGTTCTTGTGTGGTTCTATAGGGTATTTCTGTTGATAGAGAGGATCATCAAGAGAAACAATCCCCTTGTGCCATTAATTACTCCAAAGCATTGTCAATAGTTGAGGAAGGTAGATGTCAGTGAATGAGTTTTGAGAGATAAATGCTTGACTATATGATGCATATCTTACATTATTGTTTTTTGTCATTATAGGCCATAACATGAACAAGGAGAACGACATTTTAATGGCAAATGATGGTTCACCACCCATTAGTTCTCAACTGCGTGATCTTTCTAACAGTCTTAAATTGCTCTGTTCATCAACCCCATTATGCACGCAGATACCAGAAAAGGAATCCACTTTGCTTGATGATCAGATATCTGCTGATATTGTGGAACCAAAAACTCCTATAATTGAACAAAATATGAGCAATAATGATAGATGGGATGTAATGAATGCCAGAAGTCCTTGGGAAACATTCAGCATGCGTGGTTCTGGAATGAAGGTTTGATCTATTAATAACATTGCCAATTGACATTTTTTATGTGTACTTTAAGGTTTTTAACTAAAAATTTCTTTTAATTGCAGAATTCTCTTGTTCATGAATACCTGCGGTTTTTAAACACAGCTAACAAGTAAGTGGACACTTCGTGTAATGCATGTCCAATTTTGAATAAAAAAAATGAATATACTGTTTTTCTTATATGGCACTTGCTCATTGACTACTTTATTTAAACCCCCAAAAGAACTTTTAGCATAAGAAATTAAGAGCAAATCATCATAATGATCACATTTTATCCATGAGTTTTTGAATATGGATACCATTTCATATGTGGCAGGTAAGTATAATAATGGTTATAAAATATCTTACAGCCTTTAAATGACTAAGCATTTTCATACCTCCTATAAATGACTAAGCATTTTCATACCTCCTATGAGAAATCTCACTTGTTTATTTTTGTTTTCTTCAATATATTCTTCTGAATATTGACAGGGAAGAACTGAAAAAATTAAAGGTTAGGAATGCTTCATCTTTGAATACTAAGATGTTTTTTAATTTTTTTTTCCTGTATACCGTATATTATAACAAATGATTCAACTTTATTTCATATAGGGAATTGGGGAGAAACGAGCAACCTTCATACTTGAGCTTCGGGAAGAATCTCCAGAACCTTTCAAGAGTGTATGTCCTAAAAAGTTTTATGATTAGTAAAATTTTACCCTACTTTTTCCTCTGCCATTAACTCCTTATTGGTGAGATGTGTTTATGTTCTAACATAATTTTGCGATTGTAAACCAATTTTTTGTTATCAGCTTGATGATTTAAAGGATATTGGACTTTCAGCAAAGCAGGTATCATTCTTTTCATACTATTGTCATATTCTATTTTTCATGTTTGATTACCAATACTTACCAATGTAAAAAATTTAATAGTTAATGACATGAAACTGTGAATGTTTTAATTCTTACACAGATCAAGGGAATTATGAAGAAGGAAGTTGGAGAGCTTTTCAATTAGTTGAAGTGTCTGTAGTAGTAGAGCCTTTGATCTCTGTATCCAAACATTGGCAACCTAAAGTTGCCCCTTTGTCTGTGTGGCATTGATTTGTGTTTCCTTGTTCATTATTATACAAAGTTCAGATATTGGATACTGGACACTGTAAACAATTGTAGGACATGCTGCTGACTCTCTCATGAGAGTCATTAATCATATATGTTATGAAAAAGCGGTATCAAAATGAAATAGTATTATTTGTAAGTCAATTGGAATTCGTAAGCTTATTCTTCTCCTGCCTAAACTTTAATAACTCTCTTAATCCTTATAAAACCTTAAATAAAGTTGAAACAAAAATAGCACCTTTAGTTATCCAATCAATATCAAATTTCCATTTCTAAAAGAAAAAGTTCAATACATTTTAGAGTGTTGCAAGTTGCAAATAACAATTAAATTTATGTTTTTACAATAATTAATGTAAAAACAAAAATGATAACTTTATGACAATTAGCAAGTAGTATAAGTAATTTAAATCTGTTTTTTATTTTTTAAAATATATAAAAATATTTTTATACATTCGCTTAAATTACAAGTATTATTGAGTTAGTTGTATTTTATTGTATTTTTTAGGGTATAGTATTTTCCAAGTTATAAGAAATAAATTTATCTCCTACACACACATAAAAATATGTGGGGCCCATGTTGGTTCATGTGAGAAGAAGAGAGAAAAAAGATAAAATATGGGTCATACACATTTTTATAACTTTATGAAAATTAGCAAGTATTATAAGTAATTTAAATCTGTTTTTTATTTTTTTAATAATATATATTTTTTTATTCATCTGCTTAAATTGCAAGTATTATTGAGTTAGTCATATTTCATTGTGTTTTTTTAGGGTACAATGTTTCTCATATTATAAGAGATAAATTCATTTCCTACATACACATAAATATATGTGGGATCCATGTTGATCCATGTGAGAAGAAGAGAGAAAAAAAAATACGAGGCCTATACACTTTTATATAGGTGTAGGAATTTTCTCCTACAACATAAGAAATAATAAACCCATTTTTTTAAGAATAGCAATTCATCCTATAATAATATTTATAAAAATGTCTTAATAAATTTTAATATAACTTGGATTTTATTATAGAACTAATTTTTCTATTTAATACTGGAAAATGGAAAAGTAGTGTAATATAATTCACACAAGTTACATAACATAAGCTAATAAATAAGTGACATATTCTTTTCTTTATTTTTACATCACAATTTTACATATAAAATATTTCAATTATAAAATTACGTCATTATTTAACATAAAATAATAATTAGTTAATTATCTTTTAATTTTTTTTGGTATTAATTATCTTTTAATTTAACCTACAGAGCTTATGGAGATTATTTACGCGAGAACAATGTTTTTAAACCCGGACTGGTGATCGATCCGGTTGGTGTACCGGGTCAGTGGGTCATTAGTTCAACCAGTGGGTCACTGATTCAACCGTATGAATCGGATATGTATATAATTTCATATTTTATACTTAATTATATAATATATATTTTAAATGGTACAAGAGAACCAAGAAACAAATATAGCTTAGTGGTAAATACTATAATTTATATCTTTACATCAAGGGTTCAATTCCTACTATATGCAATTTTTAAATAATTCTATTAAATGATATGTTATATATATTAAATGGTGCATATCAACCAACAAACTAACTCAGTCTAGTGGTAAGCTGGACATCCTTACGAGACTCGAGTTCGAATTCTAGCGGCTTACGCGAGAATAATAAATGTGTATCAGTATAATTAGTGTTAGGATGACAAAAACGAGCCAACCCGTCATAAATGAGTTGGGTTGGGTTGGCATAAATGAGCTGCCAACCCGAATCAACCCGACCCGTTCCAACCCGGACAAAAACGAGCCAGCTCGAAGGTTAAACGGGTCGGCTCGCGGGTTGGATTTTTTTTTAATTAAAAATACTAATATCAAAACTGCCCTACGTTGTAACGCTAAGCATCATTCATCGTTGTCATCTTCCTGTTTTTCATTTTTTTGTCCAACCCTAAATTCTCCTTCTTTCTCTTTCTCCCAACGCATTTAAGCAAATTTTGTGCTTTGTATCAGATCTGTTCCACCCCTAAAAGTTACAGCTCTCAGGTTTAGAGAGACAGCTTGAGCAAGAATAGATAAGGCAGGTGGTGAATGCTTGACCTTTGATCAGTTGGCTCTAGGGCTCCTATGGGACAGAGACAGAACACGGTATGTGTGGATGCTATTATGGGCCTTTATCATTTTCTGAGTGATTAATTCTACTAATTTGATTTTGGATGAGAGCTATAATCGGTTCTTCAACCTTTGACAGCTAAAATTTCCACTCTTCCACAACCCTCCTAAAAATAGCGCAATTGTTAGTATTAAGAGTGGGATAGTTTTGTAATTTACTGTTTTGTCATTCTGTTATAGTTTTTGTTATCAATTTAGATTTTTATTCCTTTTATTCCTTTCCTGAGAATACACAAGTTAGTTAGAACATAATAGGTTCTTGAAGCATTCTTTTCTTCTGTATAAATTGCTATGTATTGTACACATTTTTATTCAATCAATGAATATGAAAATATATTCAGTTTTCTTTCTCCTCTAATATGGTATCAGTAGTTTAAGTCTTCCGCCCCTTTTTACATGGCGCGAGGAAAAAACGTTGCCGGAGAATCTGACCCACCCCATGATGATTCCTCTAGTCCTTAGTTCCTTCATAGTGCTGACCATCCAGGCCTTGTCCTTGTTGCCCACCCTCTTTCTGGTCCAAATTTTCACACATGGCGTCGTTCCATGGTTATGGCTCTTCAAGCCAAAAATAAATATCAGTTTGTCGATGGGTCTCTACCTTCCCCATCCCCTGATGACCTGCTTTATCCTTCCTGGGTTAGGTGCAACAATATGGTTTCTTCTTGGTTGTTTCATGCCGTGACTCGCGAAATTGCAGATAGTGTCCTCTATATTCTGACGGCTCATGGCATCTGGGTTGACCTTTCTGCTCGTTTTGAGCAGAGAAATGCTCCACGCATTTTTCAGTTGAAGTCCCAACTTGCTTCCCTCCAACAAGGTTTAGTTACTGTCAGTGCTTACTACACTTGATTGAAGACTTTATGGGACGAGCTTCATGCTTATCAACCAGTTCCCGTCTGCAATTGCGGTGGTCTTCGTACTTGGACCCAGTTTCAAGAACAAAATTCGTCTCTGCAATTCCTCATGGGTCTCAATGAGTCTTACTCTGCTACTTGCGCTCAAATCCTCTTGATGGAACCTCTCCCTTCCCTGAATCGCATCTTTTCCTTGGTGGTTCAGGAAGAACGACAATGATTCATCCTACCTGGAATGGTTCCTGCTTCTGACCTTCAGTTGCTTCCTGCCGTGAACGTTGTTGTCGTTCCCGCCATCAACGCCGCTGCCGGACCGCCACGACCCCACCGTGATCATCCATTCTGCACCTATTGCTCCCAGCAGGGACACACCATTGATAAATGCTTCAAGTTGCATGGGTTTCCCCCAGGTTACAGGAACCGGACCAAGCCCACTGATAATCAGGCCCAATCAGCTGATGTTTCCCTTCAACACAATGGGCCACCCTCTCCACAACTGCACCCCCCAGCCCACTTCCATTCACCCCTGATCAGTTATCCCAAATTTCAGCCTTACTTTCCACCCATCTTTCGATCTCACCACCAACGACTTCGTCCTCTGTTGAACAAGCTCCTCCATCACCATCGATTGCTAACATTTCTGGTACTTCCTCTTTTCTATCTCAATCTTCTTAGATTTTACATACCGGGGCTACCCATCACATTTGTTGTTGTCTCGATTTTTTTACTTTCACTAAACCTATTTCTGATTTTTTTGTGTCTCTCCCAAATGGATCCACCATTAATGTTACTCGTATAGGGTCTGTTTCATTCCCCGGATTTTCCCTTTTTCCCGTTTTATTTATCCCTCAATTTCATTATAATATTTTATCTGTTGCTTCTATTTCTTCTGCTCTTGGGATTTCCATTTCTTTTTCGTCTTCTTCTTCTATTTTGCAGGATCCTTCCACCTTCTACAAGATTGGGACTGCTGATCGTCGTGGGAACCTTTATGTCCTCCGTGAGTCTCCTTGCGTTCTTGCTTCTGTTCGATCTGTTGATGCCGCTTCTTCTTTGTGGCACTCTCGTCTCGGTCATCCATCTTCCACAAGATTGTCCCTTCTCAAATCAGTTTTAAATTTATCAGTAGTCTCAGACCATTGTAATTCATTTTGTAGCATTTGCCCTCTTTCTAAACAGAGGCGCTTACCTTTTATTTCCAACAACAATTTGTCCAATTCCACTTTTGATTTAATACACTTGGATGTTTGGGGACCTTTTTCTACCTTGTCTATTGAAGGATTTCGTTATTTTTTAACCATTGTTGACGATTGTAGTCGCTACACTTGGGTATATTTTTTGCATTCTAAATCTGATGTGTTAACTGTGTTTCCCCAATTTTACACTCTCATTCTTACACAATTTCAAAAGAAAATAAAATCTGTGCGATCTGATAATGCTCCTGAACTCAATTTTGATTCCTTTTTCGTTCCAATGGCATTATCCCTTTTCACTCTTGTGTTGATCGTCCACAACAGAATTTTGTTATTGAACGAAAACACCAACATATTTTAAATGTTGCTCGTTCTTTGTTATTTCGATCTCATGTTCCTTTGTCATACTGGTCTGATTGCATACACACAGCTGTTTATCTCATTAATCGACTTCCATGTCCTATTCTTAAGAATGTGTCCCCCTTTCAGGTTCTTTTTAATAAAGTCCCTTTTTTACAGTCATTTAAAATGTTTTGGTTGTCTCTGTTTCGCTTCCACTTTGCCTAGGGATCGACACAAATTTTCCCCTAGGGCCATCCCTGTTATTTTTCTTGGGTATCCCCCCGGTTATAAGGCTTATAAAGTTTTGGATCCTGTTAGCAATCGTGTTTTTATTACTAGAGATCTTGTTTTCCATGAGGATGTTTTTCCCTTTCTTAGCAAGCCTTCCCTTGACCATTCCAATTTTTTTTCTAACTCTATCCTACCTCAACCCACTGTCCTTCCTCCCATTCCCTCTTCTAGACCTTCTAGACCTACCAAGCCTCCTTTGTTACCTTCAAGATTTCATTTGTTCTACTGTTTCCACTATTCCCTATCCTCTTTCATCTGTTTTTTATCATACAGCCGCCTATCACCCTCTTTTCAGGCTTTCATTAATTCGGTATCCCATCATATTGAGCCTTCCACATACCATGAAGCATCTCAAAACCCTTTATGGCAGCAAGCTATGACCCTTGAGTTAGATGCCTTGAAATCAAATGGTACTTGGTCTTTGGTTCCTTTACCTCATGGAAAACGTGCAATTGGTTGCAAATGGGTTTTCAAGTGTAAACTTAATGCTGATGGGTCCTTGGAGAGGTACAAGGCTCGTTTGGTTGCCCAAGGTTTCACTCAACAAGAGGGCATTGACTACTTTGAGACCTTTTCCCCTGTGGCTAAGATTAGTTCTGTGAGAATATTACTTGCTTTGGCTTCTATTTCAGGTTGGTCTCTCCACCATTTGGATATCAACAATGCTTTTTTTCACGGTGATCTTTCGGAGGAGGTTTACATGCGGCCTCCACTTGGTTATCACCGTGAAGGGGAGCCTTTACCTTCCAACCTTGTTTGTAAGTTACACAAGTCACTTTATGGTCTAAAACAAGCATCCAGACAGTGGTTTCTAAAGTTTTCTTCAGTTTTGACATCAAATGGTTTCAAACAATCCTCTGCAGATCATTCTCTATTTGTTAAAATTAATGGTTCTAATTTTTTGGGTCTCTTAGTATACGTACATGATATTATTGTGGCTGGTAATAACTAGTGGCGGACCCAAAAATTTTTATAGAAGGTGGCGAATTTTTTTTTATATTATTAAGAAAAGTACATACAATCATATATGAATCTAATATAAAAAGTTTGAAAGAATTTTATTACAAAATTTAAGGTCAATTTACTTAACTCTTGCTCTACATTTTTTCATATTATTAAACTCTTCTGTAATTGAATTTGTGCTAAAATTCAAAACAATTTCTTTTTCAACATATGTAATCAAAGAATCATCAAGAAATTGGTTTTCCATTCAATTTTGAAGTCTGATCTTGATTATCTTTCATTTGACAATGGATGCGGACTCTTTTCCTTCCTCAATATTTAGCTCAAAAAATTATAACTCTTGTTTGTATGTTTCGTTGTTGTCTTCTTTGACAATGATTTTCGTCACTCTCTTAATAATCAAGTGTGCCTGATTTTGAAATTTTTTCTTGAGCCCTAAAAGTTTGCTCCTTCCTTTTGAAAAAAACTACAATTTCAATTTTTAAAGTTGTGTTTATTTAAGTGTTTTTGACATTTTCAGCCCAATTACTTAATTTTTTTAGTCCAAAATTAATCTTTTTTCAGCCCAAAATTATATATATATAATAAAAATAATTCTAAAAATCAGGGAGGGGCGGTGGCCAACCCTAGCCCCTCCCCTGGCTCCGCTATGGTAATAACCCTGCTGAAGTTGCTAGTCTGAAAATATTTTTAAATCAATTTTTCAAGTTAAAGGATCTTGGAGAACTGAAATATTTTCCTGGGATTGAGATAGCCCACAATCATAAAGGAATATCCTTGAATCAGGGAGGTTATGCTTTGAAAATCCTATCAGATTCTGGTTACTTGGGTTGCAAACCCAAATCCACTCCTATGGAGCCAAATGCTAAATTGTCTTTAGAAGAGGGAAAACTGTTAGATGATCCAACTACTTATAGAAGATTGATTGGAAGATTGTTATATTTAACTATTACTAGGCCAGATATTTGTTTTGCTGTAAATAAGTTGAGCCAATTTCTTGCACATCCAAGAGAACCTTATATGCAAGCTGCGAATAGACTGCTGCAATACATCAAAGGGACTGCTGGGCAGGGGCTGGTATAAAGCTGAAAGCATTTGCAGAGTCAGACTGGGCCTCATGTTGTGTAAAAGGGAAACGGCTCAAACTAGACAGAATCAAAATTGAAATTAAAATTATTTACCAAAAAATCAAAACTAAAATTATTTTGATAAATGATCACAAGCACGCACAATAAGAAAATTATAAATTTATTTTTTTCCAAATAATTTGTTATATTATGAAAATTTAAAATTATTTTTTGAAAGATTTGCGTGTCACCATATTATTTTTAAATATATTTTTTCGTAAATTAGTTTATAATATATATATATATATATATATATATATATTGATTTTTAATAAAGACGGATGTGATACTATTTTTATTTTTTAAAAATCATTTTAAGGATTATTTTAAAAAGAATTAATGTAATAATATATATGTATAATTACATTTTTTTATATATTGATAGTATAAGCTTATATTATATATTATGACATTTTTAATTATTTGTTATGACTATTGTATAATATAAACTTATACAACAGAATCCCTGGGCTTGTTTGGTGCATAGTATAGGATAAAGCCTGATAGTATAAGATCTGATAGTATAAGACCTGATTTTATAAGACCTGATTAAATTTTAATACTATCCAGCGTTTGACACGGTATTGTATAAAATAATATATTGTATAAGATAATATCATCTAGTATTTGGTAATGCACTGTATAATATTATATATGATAAAAATAATTTTTTTAAAAAAAATATCATTTAATAAAGAATTTATATAATTCTTCAAAAAAATGTCATATGATATTAAATTTTATAAAAATCTATTGATCAGTGTGTCCAAAATATAAATTAATTTTTACAAAAATAAAAAAGATTCAATTTTTAAAAATTAATATATTGAAAAATTAATTTTTATTTTAATAGATTAATATTAAAATAATATATTAATTTTTGAGAATTACAATGGTCAACGGTGTTAATACACCAATCTCTTATCAGTCCTTATCCCTCACCCTTAGGCCGGATTAAGTTATACATCATTTTGATGTATTAAGAGATTATGTTGTATAAGCTTATATTATACGATGGTCACACCAAACAACTAAAAATATCATAACGTATAGTATAAGCTTATACTATCATGTCTTATACGTCACACCAAACATGCCCTAATATATCAAAATGATGTATAACTCAATCAAGCCTGAGGGGGTGAGATTAGGTCTGATAAGAGGTTGATGTATTAATATTACTAACCAGTGTAATTCTCAAGAATAAATAAATTATTTAAATATTAATATATTAAAATAGAATTTATTTTTACAATTTATTAATTTTTAAAATATTGGAGATTTTTAATTTTATAAAAATTAATATATATTTCAGACACACTAATCAATAGATTTTTATAAAATTTAATATCATATGATATATTTATATAAATGTGATAGAGAAATTTTCTCTGCATAAAAAATAAGAAACATTAAATCCATATTATTTCGTGTAAAACCTGTTTAATCAAATTAATTCGTTTTACACTAAACTCAAAATATTTCACTTTTATGAAAATAATATTTATCATTTTAAAAGATATAAACTTATTTTATTTTCTTTCTTTTTCATTCATAATACTCTTATTTTCTCTCTACTCTTAATTATTTGAAGGGGAGAAAATATAAAATACACTAAATATATATCAAAACACGTTAATTTCATTTAAAATGATACAAATTTATCTCATTTAAAATGATACAAATTTATCTCATTTAAAATGATAAACATTTTCCTTTCATTTATATAAAAAAACTTGTCAGAAAAAAATTCAAGAACTCGAACTGCGATTGAAGAAAGTTTAATTAGTTAAGTAATTTTCAAAAATAAAATAAAATTGAGTTCTTCTCGAAGATATGCAAAGCCAGCTTGTCATTTAATTTTACAACTCACTCTCCCAGACACTGCTGTTTGATTTCTGTTTTGTAAAACAGTTTTTTAGTTTTCACAACAAAAAAAATTAAAAAACTCGTTTGATAAATCTGTTTTGTAAAAAATATTTTGAAAACTATAACTGTTATTTTGTTTTTAAAATTAAATTTAGAGAACATGTCTGAATTATTTTTGTTTTCTATTTTGGTTTTTAACTTTCAAAAAGAAATAAATATAGAAAACGCGTAGCTATTTTAAAAAAAAAAAAACCACAAAATAATCAAAGAGCCCTTCATTTTTTTTTTTTAGTTCTTTTTTTGAATGTTCACATTTCTTAACACTTCATTTCATTTCATATCTCTCTCTCTCTCACACACACACACACACCCCACTTTCGCTGATCGCTTTCTCGTCTTTTCTCGCCGATTTTCCTTCCCGCCAAACACTCCCTCTTCCCTTCGCCGCCACCGCCGCCGCCGGTTCTCATTCCTCCGATCCTCCGATATATCTTCCTCTTCATTTCTATCCGGTACGTGATCCACTATCGCTCTACTCAACTTTCTCCAACTCCATATCAGATCAACTTCTTCCAAATGTTTTTTTTTTCTTTTCATTTTTTTTTCGAAACAAAATTGATATCAGTGTTTTTATAGTCTAGAATGAAAGAAGAGCTTGAATACGTGAGGTAGCTTTTGTTTTGTTTTTATATTTATTTTTAATGTTGGATTGTGAAAGATCGTGTTTACTGTGGTCGATGCTTGCGTTTTGCTCAGTTAATCGTAGTTTAATTTCTCACTTTATTGTTATTCGTTGTGTCAATCAATGGAAAGCAGAAGAATGAGTTTACATTTCATTTGAGTTTACATTTCATTTGCTTTCTTTCTATTATTATAATTACTATTATTAAATTATTATTAATTTCTATGGGATTACCCTTTGATTTACCAGAAGCAGAAGAAGAATTATCAGGGATTATAATGCGGTGTTTATATTGATCGGCTGTGATTAGTTTCAGTATTTAATTTCTTCATGGCATGTGGAATTTTGTTTTATTTGACATTTAAATTAAATCTCATAATGCAGAAGAAGTGAAGGGACCTTATTGTGGTGTTATTGGTTCTGGGGAATGTTTTTGTTTTAATTCATTGGATTTACCGTTGCAGTTGTTCAATTGAAGCCATTATTGAATAACTGCTGGACTAATTTACATGTTTAAATTGTTGCTATCATGGCATTTATGTGTGGAGAAGGAAAAGTAAGATCCTGTTTACTTACTTCCTTTCCTTTATCCATTCTGTCCAAGTCCGAGAACTAATATTCGCTGCACTTTTTGTGCAAGTTTGTCTTTCATTGTATTTTAACCTGTTTTGCTTCTTGTGAATAAGCTCAAGTTATTCTAAAATGGACAGAGCTGTCCCACCCTACTTTAACAATTGGGCAGTTGTGGTGGTCGTGGCCCTATATTTCTGTATTCACCTGCCTCAAGACTCTTTGTATATTTGTTTCAGTTTGTATGTTCAGTACTTGTGGGTCACAGTAGCTTAGTAATCCCTTTCAGAGTCTTGAAGGTTGATGAATTTTGGGTTGAAATATAATGCTACTTGTCAAACTTCAAGTCTTAAACAATATACTAGTTGTTTCCTTTACTGTGAGATCTATCACTTAATATAAGTGTACGAGTGGTACTGGATTGCACTAGCAATGCATTTTTAATGCTTTAATTTATAATCAAAGTAATTCACGAGCATAATCAATTATTTAAGTGGCAATGGACTGATTCTCTGGTGCTTAGATTCACAGCTAGATGTATCGTTGCAACTTATTTTTGAACATATGGTGAAGCCCAAAATGTTATGAAGGGTGCGATAACTATAATGGATGAATGGACGAGGTCATGTTTATTTTATGTATTGAATGTTGACCATCTGATATGATGCACCATGATATCTAGGACACATGCTATATAGTCTGATGTTAACGTTAATTCTTAACTTTTCAACCAAGAGTTGGGTCTTGGGAGAGGAGGAGGAATAGGACGATAATTGTGCTACTCCCACATTTCTGTAAGATTTTAAGGATACATTTAGGTAATGCAAATGTGTTATTACTCTGGAATCAATCTAGCAATCTGCAGCATCCTGTCCTTTTTTATGGTACCTAATAACGGAAAAGCCCTGCATTGAACAAGCAAAAGTGTCATGTATTTTTCTTCTCTTTAACTGTGTCTTGACACTTTTACTTTTTTTTTAGTACAATGACAACTTTTACTTGTTACCTAGAAATTAAGGTTTTACAAATAAGCAATCATTTATCTTCTTTCCTGATGTCATAACATTTAGTCCCATTTAATGTATTATTTTATACTTTATGCAGTGGAACCTTGTAAAATTGCTTGGTACTCTTTTATGTGAATAGATGTCAGTTGCCAAGCTCAAGGTCTCTGGCTCTCCAGATATCATGAAAACAGAAGACAGAATAGATACCATAATCAGACAAGCAATTGGCAAAGAGCCTTTCCTTGCTTTTCCAAGGGCTGGTGATAGCCCTGTACAGTGGATTCAACTACTTCATGCTTTAGATCAGCAAGGTGTTAGCAATTCTCTTTCAGGTTTGAAAATTTATATATTTGGAGGTTCATTTTTAAAGCATTCAGGTGATATCAATTTGTATACACTGGATGTTAATTGAACTAAAGCATGTGTTAACCATGTGATATATGTAGCCTGCCTGAAGCAGTAAAATCTAAAATAAAGCAGAGGTTAACAGAGTTATATGTCCAATGTATCATAAGCAATTTTTCGGCTTGTTACAGGTGCATTTGATTCTGAAAACACTTATTCTGATATCACTTTTCATTTATTTGACAGAACTTCCTGGGTGGCCATTGCTTTCTCCTCTGAAGGTTCAGTTGCAGAAGTGTGACAAGTGTTCTCGAGAGTTTTGCTCCCCCATTAACTATAGAAGACATATACGTGTACACCACCGGTTGAAAAAACTCGATAAGGTTTTCTTTTGATCTTATAAATAGAATCATAGCTATCATATTCTTGCTCGTAGTTCATGCATTTTCCCTTACGTATTTTCTTCATGAGAGGGAGAGCCTTGCAGCAGTGGTAGGGTTGCTCCTTGTGACCGGAAAGTCACGGATTCAAATTTGGAAAACAATCTCTTTGCAAAAATGCAAGGGTAAGGTTGCGTACAATCGACTTCACCTCTACCCTCGCAAGTTGAGGAGCCTCATGCATCGCGTGCACGCGCGCGCGCGCGGGGGGGGGGGGGGGGGGGGATGTGAGGAGGGGTTCCCTTTTATATACCTAGATAAGGTTGCGTACAATCGACTTCACCTCTACCCTCGCAAGTCGAGGAGCCTCATGCATCGCCGGGCTAGATAGAAGTTTGTTTGTTTCTTTTCCTTGTCGTCTACAATTTTTACTGACACTGAATTGCAGGATTCTACAAAAACTAGGGATCTTTTAGGAGCATATTGGGATAAGGTAATCTTTCATTATTGTGTATTTTACATATATGAATAGTACAAATTGTTTTGATATGTTGTTTTATTTATAATTTGTGTAGCTCTCTGTAGAAGAGGCAAAGGAAGTTGTATCATTCAATAATGTGATGCTGGAGGTAAAACCTTGTTGCTCCTTGTATGAGTTATGTCAACATGAAGTTTTGATATTAATCGCCTTGCATGCATGCTGTTGATATGTCAAATATATTAGCCTATAATTGGGAGATATAAAATCAGGGGTAGTTGAGTGAAAGTAAACCTCGCATCTCCAATCCACTTCTTCACACACTCACCTTAATTAAGACAAGCACTAGGTGGCTTGTCATGGTTTAAGGCTCTGAAGTCTTGAAAGTTGAAATTCTTTCATAAATATGCTATTTTTATTTACATCTCTTTCTTTATACCTTTAGTAGTTTCCTGATCACACTTCTTCCACTCCTATCATTTATGCTATAGTTTTATGAGCTGAATTTTGTTAATGTTCTTTCTAATTGCTATATTGACTGAGAAAATTCTTCCCACTGCCCCCTTTTCCCTCCCCTAGTGTGTTTGTAAGGTTGTAGTTTCCTTTTTATATGTGAATGTCAGTTTTACAACCTCTTCTCTATCCTTTTGTTTTGCCTAGAAATATTTTATTTTTAGAAGAAATTTGGTTAGTATATAAACTTGAAAAAGTACAAGTGTGGGGAGGATAAGAAATCCTCTAAAACAAAAGACTAAATTCCAACAAGTATAGGGATAAATAAGGACTAAACCAAGAGTCAGCAATGTTGCCCAAACTATATGCACCAAGATAGCAAAACCCTTGAAACTGCCATGAGCAGAATAAACTGATACGACTCTTTTTTATTATAGAGAAAAAGGATAAAATAGTACAGAGGAGACTTTCTTAATCAAAGGGCACTCCCTTTGCCTCAGACTCAACTTATAATTTTTGCTTGTCCCTAAAGATACACAACCTCTATATATATTCAAGTTCCCCTTTATAGAAAAGGTTACAAAACAGAATTGGCAACAAATTAAATGACAAAATCGAATCAGCAAAATTTGGAAACTGATTAAAATCATTGACTCAAAATAGTAATAAATTATTGACCAAATCAATAATTGATTTTCAAATGTACGAAATACACTAGCATGTCCTCTAGAAGGAGATAAGTGAAATTCATGAAGTAATTTGGGAATCCAGGTTGAAGTAGAAGCAAGAACTAACCTTCTTTTGTAAAATAGTCTCCCTTCCTCCAGAGTGTATTGCTGGTGAGAATTTGGATCACTTTCCAAGTCAGCCCTTATCTTAGACAGAATAGGGTCTCTAAGCACGTTATCATCTATGGTAGAAATGTCTTGCCAAAAAGGCCTAGATATTGCTTGTAACTCCGTGTCCTCCCTCCTTGATAAAGCATTAGCCACCTTATTACTTGACCCTACCCCTTGTAAACAATGTCAAACACCTAGAAGCTTGGCCAGCCAATGTTGGTGATCTTGAGTTTTCACTCGTTGCTTCAAAGGAGATTTTGAACTCCTTTGGTCAGTGGAAACAGCGAATCGCCTCCCCAAAAGATATGGTCGCCAATGTTGTGTAGCCAAAACAAGAGCCATTAACTCTTTCTCATATACAGATTTTGAAAGAGAAGTAGTAGCTAAAGCCTTACTAATAAAAGCAATTGGATGCTTGTCTTGCATCAAAACTTCCCCCACCCCCTTACCCAAAACATCACATTCTATAATAAATGGCTTTGAGAAATCCTGTAAGGATAAAACAGGGGCTGTAATCATCGCCTGTTTCAAAGCATAGAAAGAGTTCTTTGCTGAACTGGACCACTCAAAATTACCCTTCTTGAGCAAGGCAGTTAAGGGCTGAGCCAACTTCCCGTAATTTCGTACAAACCTCCTGTAGTATTTGGTGAGCCCCAGAAAACTACAGAAAGCCTTAATGGTCTTTGGAGTAGGCCATTGCAATATGCTTTCAATCTTCCTTGGATCCATGGACTCCCCTTTATTGGATATGATATGGCCAAGATAATCAATGCACTACTGCCCAAAATTGCACTTTTGAAATTAGCAAAAAATATGGCTTAATTTAAAGTTCCTAACACTTATTCGAAATGCTCTAGATGTTCCTCCCACGATGGGGTATAAACTAAATGTCATCAAAGAACACAAGGACAAACTTACGAATATAAGGCTGTATCGTCGAGTTCATAGCACATTGGAATGTCGCCGGGGTATTAGTAAGCTCAAATGGCATCACCAGGTACCCAAAATGCCCTTGGTGCGTTCTAAAAGCTGTTTTCGGAATATCTTGCTCATCCATCCTTATTTGATGATAGCTAGAATACAAATCAATCTTTGAGAAATACAAAGCTCCATGTAACTCATCTAACAATTCTTCTATCACCGGAATCGGGAACTGATCCAGAATTGTAGCCTGATTAAGAGCTCGATAGTCCACACACATCCTCTAACTGCCGTCCTTTTTCTTTACCAAGATCACCGGGCTCGAAGAAGGGCTGTTACTGACTTTAATTATACCAAATCTCAACATTTCACTCGTTTTTCTATATCATTTTTTTTTTTTTTGCAATTGTAGTTATCTATAAGTTCGGACATTAACAAGGCCAGTTCCCTCCTTTAAAGGAATACGATGATCAACTTCTTCGCTAGGAGGAAGCCCATCCCCCAATCAAACCCCAAAAGAGGAATTTGAAGATGGGAAAAGACATAATCAATCTACTAACCTTCATCCAATGAAATTGTGGCTTGCGCCACTATCTATCATCACCAAAACCGGTCTCCACGTAGCTTCATCGTCTTTGGCAAAGTCAATCAACGGGCTGAAACATTCGACAAACCAAGCCATTGAAGTTCAGACTCCTTCCTGTTGCCAATCCCCTTCTCCTTCCCGTTATCCATCCGAGCAACGATGAGTGGGATCAAAAGGCAACCCACAATGAAAACATCTCCCCTTGTTTCTGCGTTTGACAAATTCATTATACGACAACCTAATTCCTTTGCGATCAGAAGTTGGCATCGCACGCGAACCTGAAGAAGTCACCCTTTTGGTCAATGTGGACTCACTCTTTTTAAAAATCTTGTTGGGTGCCCTTGTTGCAAGATTGGGCCTAGGCCCATTATTTTAAAAAAAAATTCCCTAACCCACCTTGTGACCCAGAAATTGTGTAAGAAGACGGTTTTTCCCCTCCTCCCACAAAACTTCGTGCACCACTTGCTAATGAGCGCGATGCAAAACTGCCATGGTTGTACAGTTGGAGGTTCTTCTCAATACTTTGTGCCAACTTCATCGCTAGATAAACTGCGCTTGGATCTTGAATTTTAATCTTGCTATGAATTTCAAGTCGTGGACCCCCGAGAAAATATCCCACAACCTATTTTCACTTATGTCGCTAACTTGAGCCATTAGAGGCTCAAACTGAAGAATGAAGTCTTCCACCTCCCTTCCTTGCTGCATGGTGGATGATGTTCATAGATGTTCCCATGAGAACTCTCACCAAACCTTTGAATCATGCAGGTCACTAAAGACACTACCTCTATATATATATTTACGTTCCCTTCTATAGAAAAAGTAACAAAACAAAATAAATTGGCAACAAATTAAATGACAAAATAAAATCAGTAAAATTTGGAAACTGAATAAAATCGATGACCCAAATCAGCAATAAATTATTGAGCAAATAAATAATTGATTTTCAAATCAATTATTGATTTTCGCTCTCCTTGTGTAAACCCTCCGGATCGTGGGTTTAATAGTAGTAGCTGTATCATAAACCTAGATTGATTTTGTATATAAATGGGGACTAAGAAAAAACCTCAAAAGATATGAGTATTCAGTTCCAATGAAACACACCCAAGGACCACATAAATTTCAAGCTGCCACAAAATCTTTGTCTCCTTAGTTTTTACCAAAACCTTTGTAATGAGTCCAAAAGGAAAAAAAAAAAAAAAAAACACTATTGGGAGCACTGTTCTCCCAAAATAACCCTAAAATGGTTGTTCCGAGGTACATAGTCACCTTAAAGTGCAAGAATAAGCTGCCTACTGTCTCTGAGCTAGATCTTCGTATAACACACATATAAGGAGAAGGAATAGTGTGGGGTCTACAAATTTGTTGCATGTTGTTTGTATTAATCCTGCTATGTTATGCTGTTCAAACTCCAAACAAAAGACTTGGTCTTAGAGGGAGCTTTGGATTTCCCAATAATTTTGTCAATACTGAATCTTTGAAGATTAGGAGTGAGTTAGGAATCAAAAGAAAGATTTGCGAGAGAAAATACAGATGACTCAAGGGTCCAGACATTCCTTCCTAAGATGGCTCAAGAGGCCAATATGTGTCCTGTGCAAGATGGATAAGAAATAAAACTGCAGAATGCAGATGCAGAGATGCTGCACATCTCTTTTGATTTCTCTTCTTTTCTTCTATTGTTGTTTTTCCTTTTTCCTGTTTTTCATAAATTAATCAAAATATCTTGTTTTTCCTCATTGACAATGCTCTCTAGGAAGTTCCGGGGTCCTCAATTTTGCAAGCCCTGACAACTCTTATTCAGAAACAAGGATTTTATTCACTTCCTCAGTATTATCTGAGGGCTGGTGCAGCCCTTTTGGTAAGCAGCATTACAGTCTGACTTATCAATTCGTTTTTCTTGTTAAATTTTGTTAAATACGTACCTTTGGTTTATTAATGCAATATCTCTGAATTGTCTACAGGATATTGTTCAGTCTAAACCTTCCAGTTTTCCTATATCTTCCCAGGAGTTGTTCAGTATCCTTGACGATGCTAGTGAAAAAACATGTTTTTGGGGGACAACAGTGTCAATGCAAAGATATGTTTTCGATGGAGAGGCTGGAAAAATTGGTCTTGAACCGAAAAACCTAGTTGCTACCACAAGTTTCTTGCTAGAACAGAAATTGGTAATTGTTTTTCATAACTTCAAAATTTGTTCATATTATTTCCCGCTCCCCCCTTATATCTTTTTACGTGGCATTTTTTGTATTTGGCTTAAAAAGGTGTGTTTCTTAATTCTTGTACAATGCCTTAGAAGGTTAAATGTTGACTGGTGTCTACCCAGATGTACATGAAGTATTGTTAAATCTTGCATGATAATTAAATTTTTAATTAATGGTGTAGATGTGATCTTTACATTTTCTATAGATTTCACCCTCATGTATTTGCGTTGCAGGAATTTTTTTTTTTTTTCCCCTTCTTCTTTTGGGTCAGCAGTTAAAGAAGGTAATGGTTGAGACTTTAGAATTAGAATGATATGTGGAAAGGATCCACTCATGAAGTTGGTTAGGACGGGAGAAGATAGGTGTATGTTTTCTGTTTAATTTTAACACTTGTTTGTTAGCAAAAACCTTAATTTGAAGAATTGCATGGTTTATTTATCGGCTATGGCTGAAGTTAGCTGTAAATGAAACAGTTACTAAATAAGAATGTTCCTTTTTTGATTTCCTTGGTGATGATGGAATAGAGAATCAGGTCTTGTAATCACACTCTTCCCCGTGGCTTTCACAGGGAAGGTTTTGCCACCAGACCCATGATCATTTTATGCTGCTTCTATAGTAATTGTTATGGAAAGTATCCAGAAAGTGGACGAAGTACACTATTATATAGTCCACACTTCTATCCTGGGTTGAGGGTTACCAATTCATGTGTACATAGATATCCTTTTCCACTTAAACTCAGAAGAGAGATAAGTGAAGAGAAGAGTAGAAAGGAAAAATCAATGTGGAGCAATTTCTCAGCATCAAGAGCTGCTGAAAAACCAATGCAATTCAAACGTGTTTTCTCTTTTGATAATTGACACATGGATCCAGCACATTTCATGTCACATGATTTGAATTTGTAGAAACGTGCCAGTGGAACAGAAGGTCATAGCATAACTTGCACATAAAATACAAAACATCAAACTGTGATTGTATATTAGCAAACCCAAAAAGCATGGTTTCCCAATTTAGTTCCTTGAGTCATAGTCATGATGAAATGAGTCTTCTTTCACTTAGGTGAAGGCATGGCTTGCGGACAAGGATGCTGAAGCACTGAGGTACCAGAAGCAATTGGTGGAGGAGGAAGAGGCTGCTCAGAAAAGGTATCAGGTTAAGTTTGAGCAATACAATAAAAGTCTAACTTTTTATTTAAATTTTTTTTTTTTGAAGTTTGACTTCTCTTCTAGTCATGTATCTTTGATTTATCTTCTTTTGCTGGGAAGTCATCTTAAATGAAATTTAGGATGGAGTCTGAGCAACCCACCACCACCTTTTTTTTGTCTTGTTTTGTGAAATAAGAGAATTCATTTAGCCAATGAATCGGTACAACTAAGAAACCCAAAGCAGAACCTAGTGCTACTTGGGTTGATAGGCCCTTGCATCATGAGAGAAATAAATCCTTCATAGGTCAGCAGGAGGGTTTTAAGATAGTTAAGGACATCATCAACCTGCAGAAAACTCTCATGCATAGTTTTAGTTAGTAAATTTGGCCAGCTCATCTGCATAACCTAAAATTCATAATGCCATAATTTAGATGAGCTTACCTCCTACCAGTTTTATGAGTGCTTCCAGAATGTGCTTAAATTGACATGTAAATATAATCAAACAATGCCTCTGCAATGATTTTGATTTTATTTTTCTTAGATTTCATTTGAATTTGATAATGGTTTCTGTGACTTATATTATGAATAAATCATGTGCTACATTAAGTTAATCTTTGAACTTTCATTTAGCAAAAATTACAAGAGATGCAGCTGAAAATGTAATCTCATGAAAATTGGTCATGTATGGATAATAGGGCTCTTTATTTAATTATGCACTCTATTTTTATAGACAAGCTAAGATTTTGGAGAGGAAACGCCAGAAAAAGCTCAGGCAAAAAGAACAGAAGGCTAGGGAACAAAGACACAAGGATGAGGCAGAAATTAAAGGGAATATTGGCTGTACTTTAAAGGCTTTATCAACAGCAGAAGCATCTTTGGATACATATTATTTTGTAGCTCATAATCCAGATACATTTGCAGATAACGCTCCTTCAGATGTACCTTTACAATGCCCTGACACTAGTGAAAGAATAGATGGGGATACTCAGTCAGGGTATGATTTTGGCACTGATCAGAATCTTGAGCGACAGTCAGCACGTGGACATAATCATCGGCGCTTAGTAGTTGCCAGACGGCTGGGGCTGCCAAAACCACAATGGGCTGTAGCCAATGAATTGCACACAAACCAGAGTTCTCCAACTTCAAAACTTGAAGTCTTTCAGAAATATAGAAACCGCCACGATCAAAGATTAGGTGCTATAGATACTGGTAGTAAAGTATGGAGTCGAAAGCCTAAACAAGAAATTGACATGTTGGTTTTAAAAACCATAGTAGAGAAAGAACCAGACCTAGTTAAGAATTATGAAGTTTTGATAGGGTCAATATCTGTTAATCTTGGCAATTGCAGCCAATCAGAGGGTTATACAGTGGCATCTCGAGAGGATTGCATGGTTGAGAATGTGGCCAAGCAGAATGGTTCTCAGGATAAGCCAATGAAACCTGATTTTGTCATGAGTGACAACAATAGGTCAACAGTTAAGCTTTGGAGGCGCCGGCATGAAACTAAAGATCCATTTCCAGTTAAAAGCGGTGGAACAGAATCTGATGCAGTCTATGGAAATGGAGATTGTCAAAACTTATCAGGTCCAAGTTGTTTAAGGTCGTGTAGTATAGATGGTAGTGATATTGATGATGAAAACAATTTCTCCCATCTAGAGGGTAGAGTGGATCCGGGAAGCTTACGGTTATCGAGCCATGCTGCAAAAGCCTTTCTTGCACAAAGTAAGCTTTGTCCCTTCATGTATTTGTCATGGTTCTCTTTCACCGGCAATGTGACAAAATGCTTGGTTTTGTCTTTATTTTATTTAGTCTAATTAAAGCAATTATCATGCAGGATGGAAAGAAGCTATCTTATCAAATCATGTGAAATTTGTTGTTTCCCCTGATTCTGAACCTACTGGATGTCAGGAGATACAGGATTTTGAAATAGGAGCATGTCAATCTTCTGATGTTGACAGATGCAAAATTCTTTCAAACTCAGAAAACAGGTTGCCTGTAACCTCCAGAATTACTAAATCCAAACCCAAAATGAAGCCTGGAAAGGGAACCAAGATAAAGTATGTTGCAAATCAAAAAATAGCTACCTAATATGAAAGAAGAAATTGGATCATTCAATTATACAGATATGCACAGTTTGACTTGTTGCCAATTAATTTGTTAGCAGAAGTTCCAGTTTTACCAGATGGTCTTCTGTCAGAATATTGAAGGTAGGTTTTGCCGGAAAGTCTTTATATTCTGCCCTTTTCTTTCAAATGATGTCATATGGGATTAGGTATCAGGTGGTTCTTTTTTCTTGTGGAATTATTAGCAAAATTTGTGTAATAAATTTGTTTTGTTACTATAGAGGTCATTTTTTTTTTTGGTGCATTGGTTATCGTCTTTTTTAGCAAAATTGTTTTTTCTTTTCTTACCCCTCCCTTTGGCATAATTGTCTAAATTTTGATTATAATTATTCTATTATTTGAGATAATTCAGAGATCCCCAATTTTTTTTGCCCTTACCACTCTCTTGTTCTACTGTTTCAGCATAGCGTATAAAGGTCGGTAAGTTATCTTGGTGCACTATGTATTCTAGTTCTGTCATGGAAAGTTTCCTTTGAATCTTGAGTACTGTAGAGTGTAGATGGGAAATGATAGTTGCAAGAATAGTAAAAGGACTGTTCAAGATTTGAACTGTTCATATAATCAAGGAAAAATAAAATAGAGTCAGGTTCTTATTTTCTTGTCCCCTTAAGCAGGGATAAATTGTTACTGAGGAACTTGTAAAAAGTGTAAAGAATAGAACTTTAAGATATATGTCGCTTAATGTAGTGGAGTACTTTAACAACTTTAGCAAACTGCCAGTTTGATCCAGATCAGGAATAAGAATGCCTCAACTAGTGAGCCACACGTTCATATTGTTTATCTTTACTATTCTATGTAGCCTTTTCTCTAGGATTGATATAGATAAGGGACAAGAACTAAATTGCGTCATTTTTGGTATTTTAATTGTTGAAATGTTATGGATCAGAAATAAAATGCCAAAATATCATCTTTTAGGTCCGTTATTAGTCTCAACGAATCTAGTTTGTCACGTGTTATCTGGATAAGGATTCGCTGTCAGAAATAGTGAGCCCATTGTTTTTGATAGAAGACTTTATTAAGGTGACATGTGGCAAAATAGTAATCCAATTATATAAAAAGACTATTAGTTTGTCATGTATTGCATGAACAACTATGAGAAATAACGGGTTCAAGATTTGTTATTTTTGACAACAAGTTCTTATCTAGGCGACATGTGACAAATTGAACCTACTAAGACTCATAACGGATTGTGAGACGTGCCATTTTGATATTTTATTTCTAAACCTAATGTGGTATTTTAGTCTTTGTCCCTATAGATATCCCACTTCCATATGAGTTAGCGTTGTTTTACGAGTAGAAAAATTTAATCGCAACGTATAAAAATAGTATTCCCCAATACTTTTGTTACACTTATTATAGTATGGGAGAATAAAAATAGAAAATGGCGTTTTAAAATGTGTAATCTTTCTTACTCTACATTAGACATCCATTGTCATCTAAAGTAAAAGGGATACAAATGGAATGAAAATTAAATTCAAAATTATACTGTGGTTGATGTTAGTTAAATGATTGAGATTAATGTTTTTCATATTGTATGAGATAAAATTATCTCCACACATATATAAAAGTGTGTAGCCCATGTGAAGAGAAGAGAAAAAAAAATGAACTTCATATAATTTTATGTGTGTGTAAGAGATAAAATTATCTTGTACAACATAAAAAACACTAATCCCATAAAACAAAGTCATTGATTTCTTCTTATTTTCCCAATCAAATACTTCACAACTTTTTCATCTGGTTCGCTTTCTAAAGAGAAACAACAAAGACTGTGCTAGAGATTCTACTAAGTTCACACGAATATTGTAGATTAAACCATTAAGTAATTACCAAATCATTATTTTAAATTAAAGTAATATATAACACAGTTTAAATAATTAATGTAACATAATGATGGATAGAAAACTGTATTTTAAATCTTAGTAATGCAGGTTTGTATGAATTGCAGTTCCATTCCGTGGTTTTTTCCATTTAAGTTCACTCTTAACACAGTTGAATATTGGATTAATATGTACATTTTGCCCCTATACACTGTAAAAAAACACAGAATGTAAGGATTAAAAAAAAATAAAAGTACATGTTTCCAAAAAAAAAAGTACAAGAGGATAAATGATAAAAATTAAACCATAAAGGGTTTTTTTGAACATTTCCTTTGCAATTATTAAAAAAAAAAAAAAAAATTGATGTGAGGAATAATATGAAACTGAACAAGCTACTGAGGTATATGACCATTGCAAATAAAAGCTGTTTTGTTCGAATATCATTTAAATGCATCTTTTTATGTTTGTAGATAGTTGTATTTGAATGCATCATTGTTTTACATTTAGATGGTTACCAAAGAAAAAATCATTATTATCCTAATAATTTTATTAATTTTATTTTAATTTTATCTATTTAATTTTTTAATAAATTTAAAACTAATATTTGAAAAAAAATAGAAGATTAAGATTAAAATAATAGAACTAAAGCACCAATAACAAACCTGTTTATATTTTACAAAAAAAATTAAAATTTTTACGTAATCTAATCCTAATTTAAGTTAATCGCAAAAGTGCCCAAAAATATGACGATGATTGTCTCAATTCTATTTTTTTTTCATAGTGAGGCATTCAAACTTTTTTCTTGGGCAACAAATTATAGTTTATGTTGAACAAAACACCCTTTATTTTTATTGGTCGTATACCTCATCTTGTTCCTCATTTAAAGTTTTTTCATTTTCTTTTTTTAAATAATTAGAAGGGAAAAGTTAAAAAAATTCCCTATGAAATATCCAAAAAAAAAAAATCCCTATGATTTAATATTTTATCATTTACCCCATATTCTTCTCTTTTTTAATCACTTACCTTCCTAGTGTTTTTTTAATTGTTCACTAGGGCAAAATGGACAAATTAGCTGTTAAATGTGGACTTGGAAAAAATCACAAGCAACTTAAGTGATAGAAAAAAAAGAAAAAAAGAAAAAAAAGTAGAAGGTTAAATGATTTTGGAGCAAACAATATGGTGAATTTTGAACTCTCCCTCTCTTCCCCCTTCCCTTTTCTAGTGCATGTAATGTTCCATTCGTCATGCCAAATTTTTGTGATATCCTTATCTCGTTGTCCTCTACAAAAAATTAATTGATTTACAACAATTACCTACATATGGAGTGCAAAATAAATTTGTAGAAGCCATCAAACTGAATATTAACATATATTTAGACTTAATATAGAATAAAATGAGTGTAAAATTATATCGTAAGACTCATAAAATAAAAATTTATTTTTAATGTTAATTTTTTTATTACATAAATAAATTAACCCATTAATCTGCCATAAAATCAGACAAGTTAATATTTTCAACCCATTTCTAAAAGTCTGACCAACTCATCCCACTCCATTTTTGACAGGTTCAACAAGGCGAGACATTCAACACATTTTGCCTCCTCTACTTTTATAAGAGCTTTTTATACCCTTTAGACCACATTACAATATTAAGGATTTTTGAATTTTTTTTTTTTTTTTAAAAAGAGCATTCATAGGTTTTTTAAGCATCCCTTTTTGTTTTTTTACAAAAATGTTCCTAATTTATAAAAGGAAAAGGTTATAGTTACTACTTTTTTTTCTTACTACTTGTTACTACTAAATCTTAACCGTTGATTTCCGTCAATCTAACAATTATAATTTATTGGGTCACATTTATTAATTAATTATTAATTCTAATAAATTATAACCGTCAAATTGACAGAAATCAACAGTTAAAATTTAGTAGTAACAAGTAGTAAGAAAAAAAGATAATAACTATAACCTCTCCCTTTATGAAAAACAAAAAAAACTATAACTCAGCATTTTTAAACTTTTTTTTAATATTTCTAAAAAAAATTCTCTAATTTTCATAAACTTTTTTAAACATTTTTTTAATATTTATTTTCCATAAATGGAAAACTCAAACAAACTCAGCATTTCTAACGAGAGCAAATAGATGTGCTATCTATCGCACATTCGATAGGTAGCACATTTGCTGTACAATGGAAATAATTACCTCCTAACCAAAAAGAAAAAAAAAATATAAAAAAAAAATAATCATAAAAATAGACGTAATATAAATAAATTATTTTTTACCATGAATTCTCAGTGCCCCTGTAGTACAAAAATATTTTCGGCACAGACCTACTGCAAAATGGGAACAAATATATATATTTTTTAAGGTGAACCCGGTCCATGGAACTTGACCAATGGCCCAATAAGATGATTTTTACAATTGTATTGTACGAATACCATTACGAGATGTGGATGCCAGATTCTCCATATATCTCCTTAAACGCAGTTACTAAAAGATAGCAGAGAAAAGGGAAGAGCATGTAAATGTACAAGACTTTAACTTTGTACAGCCCAGAAACCATAGGGGCAACTGCCTTCATATTGGTTTTGTCAAAACCAATTTCTAGAATTTGGTCATTTACATATGCAACCGTACAATCTTTACAAGATTTGGAGATAAGTTAAACTTCAAATTGAGTATTTTCTAATAATTTTCTCTTCATTAAGGACGTACATAATTAATCATTTTGTTTTATAAATGACTCACAAAAGTGCATGTGCCTATGAATTCAGCCCTATCTGCAATATAAAATTTCTTTCTTTCCTTCCTCGGTCACAACGATATGGCATGAGGGAAATGCAACGAATAAATACTATTACCAAAGTAAATTACAGAAAAAAAAAATTAATAATCAAACCATAATCTGATAAAGTGGTATGTAAGTATCGTCCAGTAACATAGAATAATATGAAGTTGAAGCTAAAACGATATCTCGTTTTCTTTTGAATAAGTAGGAAGTAGTAATTAATCAATCCCCTGCCTTGGTATCAACCCAAACATAACATCTTTCTCTCCGAAGCAATTAGACTACTAAAGGTACAATACAACTCAACTCTACATTTAGCAAAAGTGGTTAAAGAGTTTAATAAGTTAACAACGCCAAACACTGGCTGGAAGGTAGAATTCAACTTAACTATAACTCAACCACCCAATTAAATAAAAAAGAAAGAAAGAAAGAAAACAAAAATGACAATTAAATTACTGTTAAAAAATTCAAACTTCAAAGACCTGGACCACAATTATTGAGACCCTGAATAAATACAAGAAAACATGGTCAAGGTACACGAGCAGATTATGCCCAAATTGCTATCCAAGAGGTTTTTTTTATAACTCTTTTCTTCTCTCTCTTTTTTCTCTCATATTTACCCCCGTCCCCTTGCTTGCAGAATTCAAAATGTTCTAAGTTAAAAAAACAAAACAACATTTTGGTTGCAAGGAACAAACAAATATTACTCACATGGTGCTCACAGAAAGACTTGCACTTCCAAGATTCAGACAACAGCAAATCCTATGCTGCCATCTTCCAGATAACTTAAAACTTCCACTCACCTTGAAAACTGAATTATCTGCCAGTGCTGCGCTATCTCCGATCAAAACCTATATGTGTCATAAATTATATGCTCCATAAATTACATGCTCAATGCAAGAAACTTGCAATTATATATGATTAAAACATTAGTAATGCCAGACCACCCCAACCCAGCCTTTATTATAGGTCACCAATTAAAATCATTTGGTTGAAATTCAAAACTTGTCAGTATGTGATATACAGATACATAAAATAAACCAAAAAAAAAGGAAAAAATACATACGATGATCAAGCCCCGTGAAACAACACAAGTCCTTGAAAATAATTAACATATGCAACTATAATACCATGCTGGTCTAGCGCTCAGTCCTTAACCATATCTTAGAACTAACAGACCTGAGCAAACTTCTCAAATGCTTCCAATAGAAACCAAAGGCAGCAAGTAGGGTTCTAAAAGAATACACGCAGATGAAAGAGAAAAGAACATACTTGTATACAAGTGGGTTGAACCGATGCTATTCATAGAAATTGGTACTAGTCTTCTTTCTTGGCTCAAAGACAAAATCTCCTGCATCCTTTCAGGCCAATCTGAATTTAATCTTCGAGCAAAATCTTCCACTTCCCTTCATGAAGAGGAACAAAGCCAATTAGTGCAAAATAAAAGATAAAACAATAAAATAAATCACTCAACAATTAGCTGACAAGGCAATTCTTTCATAGGCATATAACCATTCCACTAATTGTCTAGTCCAATAAAGTAAATGAATGAATCAATATGTAAAACATCTGCAGCATGCATAAAGCCTAAAATTAAGTTTAAGAAGGAATCCTGAGTGATCTCAGAAATTTTCACTGGATTCAATCACTGAAACAGTGCGATAAACCAGTCAGAAAGAGTCTTCTGGGGTCCATAGAGTCTACATGTCAACTATGGAGGAGGTAACAGATATTCTATAACCAACTAATGCTGGTAGCGTGAAGATAAAGAAATCATAGAAATAAAGTTTCTTTTAACATAAAGTCTACATATTAAGGTGGATGTGTAGTTATACGAAGATGAATAAGATAAAAAATGAAGATATTCGACGAAAGGTAGAAGTAATACCGATGGCTCAAAAGATGAGAGAACATAGATTGAGGTGGTTTGGACACGTAATAAAAAGGCCCCTGGATGCTCCCGTTAAAACAAAATTTTGTTACCAAGAGCTCGACACAGAGAGGTAGACGTAGACCGAAACTTACTTGAGGGAAGATAGTAAAACAAGACTTGATGGAGTGGGATATAGATTGGCAGACAGTGTGTCTTAGGACGGAATGGAGAAAAGCTATAAGAATGGTGGAGGGTTAGACTTGTTGTTATTCCGATGTTCCAGATGGTCCCTTATCCTTTTCCTCTTCATCTCCCCCCTCCTTATTTTCCCCTTCTTTTCCTTTATCTCTTTTCCCCTTCCCCATCTTTCTTTTTCTTACTTATTTATTTATTTATTTATTTTATTTTTTCGTCTTACTTTCTTACTCTTTTTTTGCCCTCTTATATATCTTTATCTTTAGTTTACCTTAATATACCATCCCTTTTAATTGTTTACCTCTTTATATATATATATATATATATACACACACACACACACGTAAATTTCATTTTTATCTTTTTTCAATCTCTTCGTATCTTTCATTTAGGTTCATCTACCACCGACCCCAATTAGTTTGGGATAAAAGTGTTTGATGTTGATGATGACTTATTTGAGAATAGGGATATAATGTGTATTGACATATATATAGTTTTGAACTTATTTCCCCTCAATTGAAGAACTAGCAGAAACATGTATCTAACCTGTCAAGCTCCTCTTTCATTGCAGGATCTAAATCATCATCAAGATCACCATCAATAAACTCGAGCTTTGAAGAAAAATTAACAGCAGAATGATCTTGCATTCTCGAGTGTTTACTTGCAGAGGCCTCCAAGGCATTGTCAAAATTGCCATTGTGACATGCAGAAGGAAGAGGATTAAACTCCTAAAATACATAAAAAGATATTTAATTAGAGACATACACTTTTTCAAAAAAATAAAAATAAAAAAATACTGAGACCAACAAGTGGGTGTTCATGTAAGCCAGGAGAAATAGTATACATCTCATGCACATATCCTCAACAAGTGTATTCAAACAGAAAAAGTGGCAGTCTAACCTTATTATGGTTTTCATTTGCATTTTCTGAAGAAGGATCCTTTGCATGGTCTTTCCTTCTCCTATTCTTCTTTTTATTCTTATTTGCTCTGGTTCCCTTTATATCTGCCAAATCATGTGTCCTTAAAGGCAAGTTATGTAAAGCAAAAACATGATAGGGTGCATTAAAATTATTATACTATCAAGAAGACTTTATTATAAGCAATATGATTGAAAATAAATGAAGCAAACATCATGATGAAATAACAAGAAATCAATATAGTTACTATCAAGAAGACTTTACTATAAGTAATATGATTGAAAATTAATATAAGCAAACATCATGATGAAATAACAAGAAATCAATATAGTTACTCTAGCATCTATCAGAAGCAAGAGTAACTCCATGCATAAAACAATAATAACAAAACAACTAAAAAAATAATAACAGTAGCAGTTGACTAGTAGTAGTCTTATTCAGGGAAACTTTCAAAACTAAATAATCATATTTAGCATCATATTTATAATTTGTAATTCGTGATGTCTAAATATAATTTAAGGAAACAAAATTTCAAAGTCTAAGCAGAGGAAGTAAAGTCACATGATAGTAGTATTATCTTGTGGAGATGAGCAAAATGCTATAAAACGATCTGCTATTTTTTGACAATAAGAAAACAAAGCCATCTTAATAAATAAAAACAAAGAAACCATAACAGAGTTATCTGGAAACATAAAGTAATGAAAAATGACATTAAGAGAAGTGGTGGAAAACATACATACCTCCATTTGCACCATTAATAAATGAAAGAAGATCATCAACTGAGCGCTCATCCTTAGGTTCCTCCTCAACCTCAACATCCTAACACATAAGATTTTTTAGTGTGATTGCAACACAGGCTGAGAAGAACTTCGACATAAAAATTATATTAATCGCATTCAATAAGCAAGGTCCGTCAATACTAAAGGACTTAAAACAGTAGCAAATACCTTTAATTTTTTCCTCTCTTTTAGTTCTTTCCTCTTTCTAGCATATAATCTATTTAGAAGTCGAATACGTGGATCGTCAGTTATGTTTCTAAGAGGCTCCAGCTTCTCCTCCTGACAAAGACCAAATGGAAATCAAGAAACATGGTTGCAGACTTTAAGGGTCACCTTTGGCTATCATCACATACCTCAGTGAGGTCATCAGGCAGATGAAATGTTTCACGAATCTCCTCAGGAGTTTTTCCTTCAATAATCCGAGCAAGTGCTCGGCTGGTTAGGTCAACCAAAGACTTCAGTTGGAGGCTGTCAGCAGCAGATGTCAACTCACATAATTTCTTTGTATCCATCCGAATAAACTTCTCATCAAAAGTTTTGAGCTCCTACAATAGTAGAAATTAAATACAGAAACTGTGCCATCCTTCCAGTATTTTAGTTGATAAGAGCAAAAGCAAAAACTAAAAGACAAGAACTTGATGAAGAAACAAGAAGACAGAGAGACAAGTTACCAATATATCCCAAATTGGGTACGTAGTAGTTCAAATTAGCACCAAATCTTCAAATGTAAGATGGAGAAGGAATAAAAAATACATATCCTTAAAAGAAAGGTAAAAAGAATCACATGAAGTTGGAATAATTCTATACCTTATTAGAACGTCCTGGTAATTGGTGGAACCGACAGTAATCGAGTATTAAACCCAAGATTGCTGGATTGACACGTTGTGGAAGAGATATAGCATAAGTTTTGGAAGATCCCATGCCTGTCTGAAGTACTTCCTGATGAATCATAGGGCAAAACATGGCAACCTCTTCCTCTACTTGTTGAATAGAACCATCCACAGTTTGAAGCCAGATGTAGGATTTCATCTAAGCATGCCAAAGGAAAATTAAACTCAATAAAGTAGGAACTCAGTTAACAACAATAAACCTGACTTTACCAAATTCTACATTTCAAAACAACAGAGTAACCCCATCATTATCATCTAAAATCAGAATCCAGTTATGGAGATTCAGTTGGAGCAAATATCCCGACTGAACCAACAGCAAGTAAAGGGGAGCATGCAAAATTAAGATAATTTAAAATATTAAAGATAAATAAAAAGGAAACAAGAGTGCTTCAGCACGCTTTATAGTTTATTACAGTAAAGAATCAATTCAACCAAAAGCTTAAACTGTTGGGTGAGGTTACATTAATGATTTTATATATCTCAACAAACCCCCTCACACGAGAGCCCACTGTGCTTGAAGGGTGGACAATGCACAGGCCCACCTACCTATGCGAAGAAAGAAATTCCACTAGAAAGAAAGTGGGGGGCGGTGAGGATCGAACCCGGTACACCGAGGCTCTGATACCATGAAAAGAACCAATTCAACCCAAAAGCTTAAACTATTGGGTGAGGTTACATTAATAATTTTATATATCTCAACAATTATATACTACAGAACTAGAAGTAAAAGAGATAGTCAGAGATATAAGGGGTCCAAAGCCTTTCAAAGTTTATACTAGACACCTTAATACCAACTCATTATGGCCTGCTGTTATGAGATGAGAATGCAATTTCAAATGCATTAGTATATAATGCATTGAAACAATATATAATGCCAAAGCAAAATCCAAGCAAGGCCATAACGAAAAATAACCCCAAATGGATTAAAAAAATAAATAGAATATAATAGCATACCTCAGGTTTCATAACTGCCATAGCAGCGTCAGACATTTGAAAAATGTCACACTTGTAATTACTAGGGCTTTGGCACGACAAGTTTATCACTTATCCCAGTTCAGTAACAAGGAAATTACAACGCATAGGAATCTTTGCACTTCTTCAAAAACTTTGGTTTGCAAGATAAGCAAAAACTCTTCGAATATTCTCCATGAGTTGGAATAGTTCTGGACTCTAATAACAAAAGTAGAAGCATTCTTATCAGAAGAGCTTCCACAAGTCCTCTACTAAGAGATAATGCAGGAGGTGCTATGGCAATAAACCGTGTGATTTTCTGCCTAAACATAACCAAAGAAGGTCCCAGCATTAATCAAACTCTTGCAAACCTCACATCTGTTAAGTTTCTTTATCATATAATGATAAATACTGTGCATGCATAAATATGTGAGACAAGAAGAAACAAAGGGGTGAACAACATAAGACTGGGAACTATTTATTGACTGCATTCATAAATCAACAATTGCGAATGAAAAATTATTCAATACTCAATAACTGTGATTCCAGAGTGAACCAACCATATCCTTAGGTAAACTGATTGTAAAGTCTATAAATTAAACAAATAAAGTTTCATCTAGAAATGCTATGTGTATACCCACCCAATATGCAGAAAAAACCAGAACTTCTTCAGTCATCAAAGTGATTCAAGACATATATATATATATATATTTTTTTTTTTTTTGTAAATATATATTTTTTTTTAACTTCCTCATAACTATAAATTACGGTCCCCCCAATTTACAAAAAAAAAAAAAAAATTACGGTCCCCCCTTTTCATAAAAACAAATAAATAACAAATCAATTTCAACTCAATTTAACATTATTGACAGAAAATTGCAAACCCTTTCTAAATTTCTGTATTATGGATGGTGAAAAACTGAAAATGAAACCATTGCCTTGGGATTTATCTGGCATATTTTGAAGAATATGTAGAAAAGAAAAAGTTAAAAATATTTTGATTTTAATAAGTCCACTAAATTGAAACAAATCTAATTATGTATCCAGTCTGCGTAGTTTAATGTTTATTGTTAAGGTTGATTATATCATGCAACGCCTTCCTCAAATTCATATATCAAAGGTAGCTTCTGCAGACAAGTTAGAACGGGACAAAACATAACATTCAGGTTCTATTATGTTTTAGGTGCATTTTGAAAATAGAACCGATCTCAACATAGGGTTCAAAAAGCGGTTTTTTTTTTTTTGTTTTGTTTTGTTTTAGTAAAAGCGGCAGAACCAAAGTGAACAGAAAAACCGTTCCATTCCATGCCATAAATGCAAGGGATAACAAGAGTGGCAAAAATCATTAATATCAAAAAAGAAGAAGAAGTGTATCATCTTATGACCTCACCACCACACTATTATAATCAATGAATACTAGAAAACCTATGGCAAATTCTAATTTTAAAAAATAGCACCAGATATTATCATCTCAGTTCAAGTTCCAAGCACGTGTGCCTTCTGTTCCGTGTCAACCAAATAACCAAACCCAAAACATGATGCCATATTAATTTTCAGCAACTTCATGGTTATGAGGACTCCGCCACTAAACCTAACTAAGCTAGAACGAGCTAACTAGAAATTCAAACCATTGCTTTGTACCATTTTTCTTGCTCCTATGTGAAGTAAGTAAACTAAAACATTCCAACGACTCAAGCTACGGAAGGCAACACCAACACGAGTAAAAAAAATAAAATTCAAATTAGACCAAATTTTCATCAAATCAAGCTCGAATTGCAGCGACAAACCAACATCGACAGAGAATTCAACTCCGCAATCGAGAGCGCGAATTCAAGTTCAACTTGGAAACCGAAGATTGAAACGAACACGAACAGAGAGAGAGAGAGAGAGAGAGAGAAGTACCTTGAATTAGAAGAAGAAGAGGAGAAAATGGAAGACCGCATGCACGAAGAGGAAGATAGAAACAGTTATGAGTAGAAGAAGAAAATGGAGCTAGAGAGCTAGCTAGGGTTTTCTGTTTTCTCGTTGATTTTGTTATTTTTTTTGGACGAAGATTTTGTTATTTTCCTCTTCTCCGATTTGTGTGCCGTTGAGTGCTGGCACGTGACTCTACCAAACGCAGAAGACATGGCACGTGCAGGTAGTTTATTACGTCACGTGTGGATAATAGGTAAATGGAGCTTCTGTATTTTGGGCCCATGGGCCTCACCAAATTACTTGGGCTGTTTCTACTGCGCTTTCCTTTGCGCGCGCGCATCCATGTGATATAAGAAAGTGACTAATCAACTAGTACTGCGGAACTCGGATCGGGCCGGTCGAACCGGTTGACCCACAAATCACTATCTCAGCCCGTTCGGTTTGATCTGTGGACCGCTTCTGTATTTGAACCGGTTGAAAAATGGCTTTGTGAATTTTGGATAAAATATTTCAAAATTTTTGAACCCAGCTTAACTTTTTTTGAGACGCACAACTTCTACCACTACACCAACAATTTTTATTTATCAGTAAGCTTTTAATTTTATATTTATTATATAAATTAAATTCAACCGATTTAATGAATTATTCCACAGTTGAATTAATGACCCACTTGTTGGGCAGCGAACGGTAGGGGTGTTCATCAACTGATCCAAACCGATTCAAATCGCGAAAACCGAACCGAAAAACCGATAACCGAATAAATCGAAAATCGAAAAATCGGAAACCGAAAGAAAACCGCAAATTTTAATTGGATTGGATCGGTTTTCAGATGGGTTGATGAAAACCGATCCAATCCAAACCGATCCAATGTATTAATTATCCTCTACTTACTTGTCCTTTCTCCAATCATAGCCCAAAAATTTCTAAACTCTAGACTCATTAACTCATTAACTAAATCCAAAAAAAAACTTAGTCACGTCTCATCAACCATAGTATTGTTTACTGATATTTTTGTATTTCACTTTTTTTATTACAAAGCCAATATATACAAAAGATGTTATTTGCACAATAATCATGAAACTAATTTTAGGATATTCAAAAAACCGAAACCGATCCAATCCAAATCGAAAAAAATTGGATTGGATCGGATCGGATTTGAAAAAAAAAATTAACCGAATGGATGATTACATGATCAAACCGAAGGGATTGGATCGGATGAGTTTTGCTTCCAAAACCGATCCAATCCAGACCGCGAACACCTCTAGCGAACGGGGAGCTCATGGAGGGAAGAAACCGCTAATTATGATCAAGTGAGCAACAACAATAAGTGAGCTTGAAACACCACAATTAAACCCAAAACCTTAAGGTATTAGGTGTATGAGTCTTTTCACTTATATAATACTCACTTATTCTATTTTTAACCAATATGAGACTTGTTCACTCAATCATTCACACCCATAACAAAAATGTGGTGTCTTGATTCTAAATTATAAATTAATTAATTTTTGAAATAAAAAATAATAATTTTCATAAGAAATGACCTGTTTTAAATTCAATTTTTCACTCCCCCGGCACGGGAACTGCTTACTCATTCTCCATTCAACGAGTGTTCACTTTGTTTTTTCTTATAACATGCTTTCGTATTTCAAAAGCGATATTAAATTGGTTTTGATTAAACGATGCAGATGTGTAATCAATCCTAACATATCCCACATGTATTTTATCATATGCATAATCATGAAAAAGCGAGAATAATTAAATTGTTAGACACTTAATAAAATAAATGTGTATAAAATTATGACATAAAGAGATAAGAAAAGCACATTGGTGGTTGTGTGGTATCGCCGGCAGAGGTAAAGGGACAACATAAACCAAACAAATAACATAATCCAAAACCGAAGCAAATAGAAGAGTCAAAAAAGAAAACACCAATAAGGTGTATTCCTTGGAATCAACAAAACGGCAACTGATACTTCATAAGTAGGAACATGCACTCCACACTCACTCACACACACACACAACATAGAGACATAGAAAGAGAGTTAGTTAGGCATGTGTCCTTCTGGGTTTTCATTATCTTCCACTGCAGAGGAAGTTACACAAGGGATTGATGGGACTGGCCTCACTGCTATTGTCACAGGTCATATTATTATTATTATTATTATTATTATTATTATTATTATTATTATTATAGGAATTGTCCCTTCCCTGCTTTTTATATCTTTTTTTTTTTTTTTGATAACATGCTTTTTATATCTTTATAAACAAATGGATGTTTCATTTTTGGGTCTTTAAAGTTTTTGTTTACCTTCCTCTGCATAATCTTTTATCATTGCTTTACAAAATATGTTATGTTTTTATTGTAACAACAATATCAAGTGTAATCATTTGAAAAAAAAAAGTCTTATCCCACTTGAGATTGGTTACATGAAGTAATTAAGCACGTTAATGAGTTTTTTTCAAAGACTATCTCTGGATTCAGATTGATCAATAGTAGTTTTTTGGTGACTATCATGTGAATGGTTATTGCTTGTGTTTAAGTGGTTAACAATCTTATACTCGTTGTCAAAGACAATTATTCATCTCTAAATGGTCAATAATAATCATTGGATAGCTATTACCTGACTGATTATAGCTCAGTTTTGAATATATTTGTTTTCAATGTCTAGTATTTGATTGGTTATAACAGGTAATAGGTGATTATCTTAGTAGTCAACTATAATTACGGAATAGTCAACAATGTAATATTTGTTGTCTACGACAATCAATCTCAACCATTCAAGTACAAATCAACGATGAAAATTGTATTTGAATAATTGAGATCTTGACATATCATACGTTACACCCGAGAGTATCCATTTCTTTATGAGTCATATTTGATTGATTGGTTTATAACACACTAGATAATAATCATGTGAATTGCTAATTCTCTTTTTTCAGTGGTCAACAATAGTTGTTGAGTGGTTAACAGTTTAATATTATCAAATGCTATTATTAATTAGTGTTAATGCAGAAAAATTCCATCGAAATCTCAAAATGTTAAATTTTGGGAACAGTGACCAAAATGTCATTGCTCACCAACTTTTTTATCTAAATGCCACGCGAATAATGTTATTTCTCAATCTGCCACGGGGGCAAGTTCGCTACCCAGTGTAGCGAACTCGGTTTGCTGACGTGCCACGTTTCTAATGGACACCAAGTTCGCTACACGGGATAGCGAACTTGGTTTTAACCAAGTTCGCTACCCAATGTAGCGAACTTCAAATTTTTTTAATTTTTTTTTTTAACTTGGTACTTGTTATCCACTAGAAATGTAACACGTCAGCAAACCGAGTTCGCTACATCGGGTAGCGAATTTGCCCCCGTGGCAGATTGGGAAATAATACTGTTCGCGTGGCATTTAGATAAAAAAAGTTAGTGAACAGTGGCATTTTGGTTGATGTTCCTAAAGTTTGCACTTTCTATTTTTGAAATGAAATTCACTTGTTTGTTTATATGCTGCTTTCATTTTGTACGCATATTACATTCATTTTAGCCACGATAATTGTAAGTAATTCTTGGAATGTGTCTTTGTTCAAATGTGGCATGCGATACATGCTTTTAGTATGATACGTGCCCCTTATTTGCAAATTTTGGTTGGTGGTGGACATTCTAATAACAGGAACAACCAATGGTATTGGCACTGAAACTGCACGAGTTCTTGCTTTGCGTGGGGTCCATGTGATTATGGGGGTGAGAAATATGGTTGCTGCCAAAGATGTCAAGGAAGCAATACTTAAGGAGACTCCCAAAGCTAAAGTTGATGTCATGGAGTTAGATCTTAGTTCAATGGCATCAGTTCGTAAATTTGTGTCAGAGTTTAATTCTTCTGGTCTTCCTTTGAACATCCTCATGTAAGAAGCTACATTGGCTACATTATCAATGTATACATGTTAATTCTGATCATTCAAGGAAATGGAGTAGTAATTCTGGTTTGTTTGTTGTGATTCTAAGAAACAATGCAGGAATTTGTGCAACCCCTTTCACGCTGTCCAGAGACAACATTGAACTACAATTTGCCACAAATCACTTGGGTATGTAGGAAATGTCTGATGTTTCCTAACATGAAATGTTTATTAGCTTTCCAGTGTAAAAGGGTAAATAGAAAGAAACACTGACATTGAAAAGAAAAGAAAAAAAGTTTCTAGGGAGTGTTAGGAATGAGGTCTATTTTCTTTCTGGTGCAGGTATTTAAGAACTTAATGATAAAGGTGCTTGTCACTATTGTAGGGGAAGAGGTTAAAATCACTGATACATTAAATCTATGTTTTATCCTTGAACTCTCGTAATCTGTTTCAGGCTATTAGCTTATATAATTGGATTGTAGTTTTATATAAAGGATAAAACATCAAATAATTCTTCTGCTACTATTTCTTTAGAAGTCTAGACAGAGAAGAGGAAGAAGTGATCTTAATTCTTCTGTTTTTATTTATCATAATTCCACAGGTCATTTTCTTTTAACAAATCTTTTATTGGATACAATGAAGAAAACAGAACGTGAAAGCAAGAAAGAAGGGAGAATTATTAATGTCTCCTCTGAGGGTCACCTATATTCATATCCTGAAGGAATCCTTTTTGATAAAATCAATGATGAATCAAGGTAAAATGAAGCATAACTACGAAATATGCTGGAGACTCAATTTAATTAACTTTGGCAATTCAGCTCCAATAATCGTTCATTTGTAAAAAAAATAAAAAAAATAAAAAAGAAATATTAAGTTTGTGTTATTGAATTTTTGTGCTTTATATGTCACATAAGATATTACATTACTAATTTGCTTTGTGTAAATTTTTTGTCGCCTGTCACTTAAAGAGGGTATCAGATTAAAGTCTCTATACAGAAAACCCACTGATATGATTTTGATGCACGTGGATATAGTTATGATCTTATAGAGTTATGCAAACCTTAGTTACATGTTTAATTGAGCACACATGCATGATTCATATAGTATATGAAAAAAAGGAGTAATATAATGTTTATTTCATCATTATTACTTCCTTATGTACAGTTACCAGAAATGGCGTGCATATGGGCAATCAAAGCTTGCTAACATTTTACACGCCAATGAACTTGCAAGATGTCTTGAGGTATGCTAACATTTATTGTGCCAAAATATGATCAATACATTACTCAAAAGAATGAGTTAATTTGTTTCTGTTTGTGAGCAAAGATGGCCCTCTGGTTTTGCTTGATTAGTTGTCTGATATATCTAATATTAATCATTGCATCTTGATCAGGAAGATGGGGTAAATATTACTGCAAATTCTCTTCATCCGGGAGCTATTATCACCAATATTGTAAAGACTGATTATGATGCAAGTTCTCTTTGTCCTGGAGCTGTGGTCACCAATACTGTAAAATCTTATCTTAGTAGCGATGTACCTACTGGTAACTACCATATATTTCACCATTCATGTGAATGAATTTATGCCCTGTCTAGGAATTATAAACACTGTAAATGAAGTATTTTGCATAATCCACCATTAGGATACTATATGTATTTTTGCATGCAGATGATTACACTTGCTGAGTTTTATGGTTATGTTTCTGTCTGATTCATGCAGGTCTACTTGATGCGATTGGGAAAATTGTGATTAAAAGTGTTGGGCAGGTAATTTAACCCTGTTTGACCTATTGAATATATATATATATATATATATATATATATATATATGTGTGTGTGTGTGTCATGGATTGTGTTATTAATTAGTTGTTTAATCTAAAACGGAATCCAAAAATTTCATATTTAATTTGTGATTGTTCTAATAGTCTATGTTCACCTTCTTCAACCTCATTGTAGGGAGCAGCAACAACATGCTATGTAGCATTGCACCCACAAGTGAAGGGAATTAGTGGCGAGTATTTTTCAGATAATGATATGGCTAAACCAAGCTCACAAGGAACGGACACTGATTTGGCGAAGAAACTCTGGGATTTCAGCATGAAATTAATTGAATAGAATACCCTAAAGCAATTTTCAAAGAAGATGATATCTACTTCCTTAGTGAATAAAAAATAATTACGATATATAGCGACCGTGACATGTGTAATTTTAATTAATCCACTTGCATTGAATCTATATCTATATAATGTTATGAAATGAAACACATTACATGGCAGCAACATCAATGGTCATTAAATTGAGAAATGAAATCTCAATCATTACTTAATTGTGTAGCAAGTCTAGCAAACTAAAAATAAAAAATAAAAAATTAAAGTTTCTGAAAATGAACTCAGACAAAGATAAAATGACTCATGAGAAAAATAAGCAAGGTTACTGCAGTTGCAAAATCAAATTTCAGAAGCAGAGCATCTTATGCAAGCAACTAAAATCAAACACAGCAGAGATAAACATGCAATCAGCTAATTATGAAAAGGGGCATTCGTAAGCGCTTGTCTACTAATTCTGACGTGAATCAAAATGGAAGGTGCAATGAATATGATTCACCCAAATCCTAATTGATTAAAAAAATCTTAGCATCCCAAAAAAAGTCTGATTTAAATACTCGCTCAACATGTATATTTGATCACCATCTTTAAGTACTAAATGGAGTTATAGTTTTGGCACCTTTATTTATGCACCGCATTTTATTTTTTTTATAAATATTTTGATGCGCTAGGTCCATCCAAGCCCAAACCCTTTGGATTTATAGTCGCAAGCCCAAGAAGCTCAGGTGAAGTTACCTATGGTTGTCTCTTTGATAGACACCAGATCAGCCCAAAGTTCAATATCAACCATTGATCCACTGGATCAAATATAAGGGTATTTTTATTTGTTTCTGTTTCGGGAATGTCGCCTAATGGGCTTAAGACTAACTTGGACATTTCACTCGGGTAAGCCCATCCGGCCGAAGCCATAACTCACCTACCCACGACCTAGGAGATGATCCAGCAACACCCATATCATGCTCACGATCATCACATGTGAGATAATTGCTCTAGGGCCACTTTACACCTTAATAACCATTCATACGGGTTGTGTATATACATGAACAGAGCCTCTATTGGGGGCAGAACACATACATCACATACCATTGCACTCTTATGCCCTAGAGCACTCACCAGCCCCATAAATAGGAGAGGAATTTCAATGCTCCCATCTCAACACTGACTCGGTGGGGACGGACCAATTAAAATTTCTCATTTCCTGTGATGTGTGTATGAAAGAGAGAATATTTTTTTTTAATCCAAGTGTCATTTTTTGAATGGAAGAAGGTGGCCATCGGACTAAAATTTTTCCAGAGCACTAAATTTTTTTTTTTCAATAAATACACACACCCCTTATAGAGTGACCAACGGACATTCGCATGAGGTGCGAGATTTCTCATTGCGTGACATATCTACCCTAAGTTTCATATAGACAATTACTAATTATTTAGGTAGACATTGGTGTTCACTTTTGGCTAATCAAGAAATGGAAATGTTTACGATATGGTGGATTAACCAATCACCGAGGGACTCGTGCTTGGACGAAGGAATGAGTCAGTGTCCACAGTCAACGATTTAGGTAGTGGTGTTGTCAAAGGCATTCGATGGACACAACATGCTGCCAGTGACAGTGACAACATATGATTTTGTCTTGTGTCGAGTTTGTCATCAGTTCAATTTTTAGAAATGTTATCTCAGAAAGAAAAAAAACGACATTTCATCGTTGGGTTCAGTTCTTAATTTCATTTAGAAAATATATTCGGTTCATAAATAATTTAAAAAATAATCAATTCTTAAATCCGTAAACCAAAAGCCATACATCTTTGGAATGTGGCAGGAGTATTACATAGACCAAAAGGCATTCTACGAAAAGCAAAAGTTCCAAAAGGACAAGTAAAAGTTGTTTTATATTGATCCTCAGGAGAAACAAAATTTGGTTATATCCTGAGTACCCATCTAAAAAATAGAAAAATTCTTTTCTAGCAAAGTGTTCTAGCATTTAATCAATAAAATGAAGGGGGAAATGATCTTTACAAGTTACACTATTCAACTTCCTATAATCTTGGCAAATTCTCCAACATGTTATTTTTCTAGTGGCTACTAATTCATGATTATCATTTTCAACAACATTAATACCAGCTTTCTTAGGAACATATTATACAGGACTAACCCACTTACTATCAAATATATGATAGATTATACATGCGCAAGCCACTTGATTATTTCCTTTATTACCATCTCTTTCATATTAGGGTTCAATCTCTTTCGTGGCTTCACAAAAGAACTTTCTGGATCTTGGAGCAAGATTTTGTATATACAAATGGTTGGACTGATGCCCATCATGTCAGCAATCGTCCATCTAACGACTCATTTGAACTCTTTTAGCTTGTTGTAAGCTATAATTCTTGCTCAGGGGTTAGTAAAGTAGAAATAATTACAGAAAGAGTGTTTCTTTACCCAAATAGATGTACTTTAAGTGTTCTAGTAAAGGCTTTAGCTCCAGAATTGGTAGTTGCTCCAAGGAGGGAGGTTTTGGCTTTTGCTCATCTTCCGAACCATTGAGGGGCTCAAAGGATTTCTATTTCTTGCTCTCTGGTCGTGCAATGTCTATTATTGCTAAGTATTCCTCCAGCTCCTATAAGTCTTTTATCCCAATTTCTGGCTCTTGGATTCCATTTTGCTCCTTAAGTTGTTCCTCAGCTACAACAACACAACAATTACAATTTGGCAGCACTCTTCAGTATTATCATCATTGAACTTCATTGCTTTCATAACATTGAACTTTACTTCTTCTCCAATAACGCTCATGGACCACTCCCTTTTTTTCACATTAATCATAACCGCTCCCTTAGCAAGGAAAGGTCTACCAAGGATGATGGGAACTTCCTAGTCAGCTTCGAAGTCCAAAATGATGAAATCAGTTGGGAGTATGAACTTATCCACTTGGACAAGAACATCCTTTATCTTCCCTTCAGCTCGGGCAATAGAACGATCAGCAAGTTGTAAGGTAACCGTGGTTGGTCTTACATCACAAATCTCAAGTTTCTTAAAAATAGATGCTGGCATCATATTCACACTTGAGCCTAAGTCATAGTGTTCTCTTCTATGGTAATTCTTCACAATAGTGCAGGGAATTGTGAAGCTCCTTGAGTCCTTCAATTTTGGTGGGATTTTGGTCAAATATTTATAGGATTCTTTCGTCAATGCAATAGTTTCAAACTCTTCTATTCTTCTTTTCTTCGACATCATGTCCTTCATGAATTTTACATAGGAAGGCATCTTCTCCAGGGCTTTAACAAGTAGAATATTGATGTGCAACTATTTTTAGCAAGTCTAGGAATTTTCCAAACTACTTATCTTGATGTTGCTTCTGTAACCTTTTGTGGAAAAGGTGGTTGAATTGGTTCATTCTTCCTCTTACTTAGTGGAACATAGGGTGGTACAGAGTCTGGTTGGTTGGAATTTTTGGCTTTCGATCTAGTGTCTAGAAATAAAGTAGAAGTAGTTGCTCCGGCTCCTGCTTCTTTATGGGTTTCACGTTGGTCTTGTCAGGGAGCAATTCCTAGCTCCTCACTTGATTTCATTTCATCACTGCTTTAGGGTACATTAGGTGTTTTTCACATTTCATCACATGATTTTATTTCATCATTTCCTTTTTTTCAACCCATATTCAACAACGGACCAACTTATATTGACACCTCTAAGTGTCAGAACCTTCATCAACAATCTCCCAAGATGGTTTCTCTGCCTTGCGTTTGTGAGGTCTAACTACTGCTTCTGATTGTGGGATCATTTTGCCATCACGCATGTTGATTGCATTACATTGCTCGTTCCCATCTCCAAAATGGTTTCTCAGTATCACTGAGTAATGCTCCTTGAGGTCTATTTATTAGAGCATTGGCCATCTGTCTAACTTGAGTCTCAATATTTCTCATGGCATTATTATGGTTAATGTACTGCTTCAACAAACTCTCCAAAGAGTTAAATCTAGCCTCATTCTTGTCTTGGTTTTGGTTCTATTTTTGTAGATAAGAAGGTCTATTATGGTAGTTTCCAAAATTGTCCCCAACATTATTTTGGCTCTTCCATCCCTAGTTGTTGTAACTCTGATTTTGATTGCTGCTCTGGTTGTTGTTTTTATAGTTCCCTGTATAGTAAACAGGAGCAATGTCAGTACTACAATCCCCAAATTCATGGGGATCATTACAAACAGAACAAGATTGCATAGATTGAGAAAAATAAAGTTGATTTGGTGGATTTGAAGGTGTTGGTTGTTCAGCTGGCTGCCATTTGTGCTGCTAAGGCAGTGGATGCATCTAGCTCCAACACTTTAGGCTTCCCGGGAGCATTTTGGTGCTCTAAAGGCCATTAGATGTGTTTCTTGGCTAATTTCTCTAGCAAATGAACAGTTTCATCATAGGTACAATCCAACAAATCTCCCCAGCAGCTGCATCAACATTTGTTTTGAGTTGAGGTGTTAATCCATAGTAGAATGTATGAATAACTCCCCAATCTAAAACTCCATGGTTATGACACTTTCTCAACAAATCTTTGTAACGCTCCAAAACTTCATACAAGTTTTCTCCATCATACATCCTAAAGGATGCAATGTCAGATCTCACTTAGGCTTGCTTTGCATAAGAAAATAAACGTGCAATGAGCTGCTCCATGAGTTACTCCTAACTCGTGATTGAATTTGGGGGCAAAGTCTTCAACCATTCTTTTGCTTTACTTGCCAAGGAAAAAGGAAACAAATGCATACACATATTATCTTAAGTTATTCCTTAGACTCTAAAATTGTCAACCATTTCAATAAAGTTTTCCAAATGGTCATGAAGGTCTTCTAGAGGTAATCCATGAAATTGTCTAGCATTCATGATCATTTGAAACATTACATGTTTAATTTCAAAGTTAGGGACTTCTAATGGTGGTGGAATGAATCCTTTATTAGGACTATTTTTAAAAAGTGTTGTTATATCATTTAAGGATGATCTTCTATTTCCATTATGTCCTCCTCCATTCCCCCTATTA